GCTCATGAAGCAATCATCAGCTCAGACAGGCAATGAGACGGCGCGCAGCTGTAGACGCGGGACGATGACAAGACAGGAGGAGGCTGAGTTGGATCCATCCGCTCCCAAAGCTGGAACGCAAGCAACTCAAATCGACCGAAACCCGAGAGCGAATAAGGAAATTGTGAAACTCTGCACCTCATCAAGATTGCGGCAGGGGACGTGGAATCGGTACCTTGCCGCGGAGAGGATTGGACCAGCATACACAGGTACAGGCACAGGAAACGGGACGGGTTGTGGTGGGTTGAAACTGGCGCGCTGCGCTGCTTGAGGAGCTCCTGAATGATGCCGTCCTGCTTGCAGCAGCAGTGCCGCCACACCTGCTGGAGAGTGGATGAGAGGGGCGAGGATGGACGACGAGTGGATAAGTTGGGGTGAGGTATGAGACCGGGCCTGTGGGCGTCGGTCCATGAGACGGGCTTGGCTAGGTGGTGGTCCGGCCCCCAGGTGGATGTCGAAGAAACTGGACGAGGATATGTGGGCAGCGAGAGTCAGACTGGGGGGCGAAACAAGCGCCAGGAGACGCCACGCCACATGGAAGGAATCGAGGAACGTCTGTCGGTGGGCTTCTCTGCAGGAGGGCGAGACATTTGGCAGTTGATTTGGCAGGCCATCAAAATTGGCAGAGGTGGCAGCGGGCCAGAGCCTAGGGCAGGGTCTGGGCATCCCGAGATCCGAACCCTCGGTGGACGAGGCGTTGGTGATGCACTGGTGCAACCGATGACATGCTGATGGCAGTGACTGGGCTTTGGACTTGGACGGCGGTCCGGTGTGCTGTCACCTTGTAAGCTTGAAACGGGATAAGGAAGTGCCCGCGCGGGGGCGCAGAGGGTGTGTGACACGGCTTGTCTATCTGACTGGAAGGACGAGCGAGATGTGCAATGAGATGGGTGGGCGGCAGAGGCAGACGGCGCGAGGGCGGACGATAAATGGCGGGCATTGGTTGGATGAGTGCGATGCGTATGTGTGTGTACGTGCGTACATGAGGGCGAGTGAGCGTGGAATCCGTGGCTTGCGGATGAGTGAGGGAGATTGGGCGACTGGGTGGCTGGGGCGATTGAGCGGCGAGCGTAGGAGTATGCGCGTGTGTTTGCAGAGAAGAAACATTGTTTTGCAAAGATGCGTTTCTTCGGAACGACCGTTCGCTGACTTGCAGAAAAGATGGACAAGTTGCGTCGATAGTTGGGGGCTAGGCCAGGTACCGGGACCCCTGCAAGGTCGACCAAGACGGCGTTTGCCGGGATATCCCTTTGGAACGGTTCGTGTTAGCAACGACTGATCTTCAGGAAGCGTAGCGCAAGGCAAGGCAAGACAACGCAAATTTGGAGGGACTGGGCTGCAGGGACAAGGGCCAGGGCAGTCGTGGTGCTGGCGCGTGTCAAATAAGAGCTTTGATGGTGTAACGGCACGGGTAGAAGTGCGACGGGCGCGCTTGTGATTTGGAAGCTGCCAAAGCTTTCTGACAGAAGCAGTTTTAGAAACACCCTCAATGCCTTGGGCTCCTTGGGGTTCCTTCCATTGATTGGGGGTGCTGGGATAGGGCGAGGTCGACTTGAGTCCGGAAACGACCAACTTGACTCGCTGGTGGATGGATGTTGTTGCGGTTGTAGTGGGTTGGCGGCAAAAAGAAGATGTGATGAGGATCGATTGACGTTACGAGAAAACGAGGTCAGGTGGGCGAAGATGAGTGCACCGTGACGTTATTGGCGATATGCAAATTGGCGTAGAGTGGACATGTCTCAAACGGTGCATCGCATTAGCAGATACCAGGATAAGAGAAGTGGGTACCTGCCTTCCCTGCCCGGGGGCCGGATCCACTGGCGATAAGCATTTTTTCTGCCTCACCACCACGAGGTGGTGGTGCACTCAGGGTCAGAAACACCCACCTCACCTGCGGTGTAGGTAGCGTCACACTGAGTGCGGGTGACACCACAGGTGGAGACGCTCACCTTACCTCGACTTCACCCGGTGCCTCGGTGAAAGCAAAGGTGACCTAATCGGGAGACAGATGCGACCATTCCTTTTTCGAACGGCGGCGCAGGACCAAGACTCAAGACCCAAGACCAACATCCAAGACCTGCATTGCACACCAGCACCAGTTGGTTGGTTGCACCGGACCTGCAGCCGTTCGCACTTTGGTTCCTGGCCTCGGCTCTTTCTCTTTGTTTACTGGGCGCCGACTCTCGAGTAATTAGCCGCACCGTTCTTGCATTCTGTATGTACGCACCGTGGCACCCCTGGAAGAACTCCCCCACTCTATCCCGATCGTCCCTGCAACCGCCGTCATTCTGTGGCAGTCCTGGGTCATGTAAAATGGTGCTTGACCTACATTCACCTAAGATGCTAAGGTGGGTGATTGAAGATGCGATAGGCGGCATCGCCCGGGCGGCAGACAGGCAGCCAGGATATGGCAAGAACAGACGCTCTGCTCGACGCCTTTCGCCGCCGCTATTGCGATTGTCGGTGCTTTTGACACAAGACACACTCTTTTCCAAACAGAACAACAAACGAGCGCCGATGTCCAGACCAAGAAGACAAAAAAACATCCAGTGTGAGTGCGGACGAAGAAACAAGCACCGCCTCCTTGGTTGGCCCTGCATTTCCGCCTCCTGCATCTCTCACGGAATCAGGCAGAGTTCCAGCAATTGCAGCACTATCTGCAGTAGGTATCATGACCGGATGATGGCAGCCTGGAGTCTTGCACATCAGAGATCCCCAATCTTGGCCTCCGTTCTTTGGGGCGCAGGCAGAGAAAGCAGAGACGGCCTTGCATCTCCTGCTCACTGCGCCCCATCATCTCGTCTTCGGGCAGCTTTGAAGTGAGGGACTTGGGACACTGGGGCGCGCAGGATCCTCTTCATCCTTCTCCTTGGGACTGCTGTGCTGTTTTATTGGCTCGCCACGACGGCGGGAATCTCCATATCGCCAGACATCGGCCTCACATCCCCCCAAATAGCTCACCCGGTATTTCCCAAAGTGCCAGTGTCCAGCCATGCAGACCTTACCTAATCACCCATGAGGTTCAAAGTGTTCCATGGCAGTGAATAGTGATAGGCAGGTAAATGGACGTTAGTAAGGGCAGAGGTCAGGCACAGGTCTGACGCAGGGTTGGCCGTTGTTTGGTGCACCAAGTGAAGGTGCCTGCCCGCCGGCCCGCAAAACCGAATCCAAGGCTCTGTTCTGCTCTGCGCTGCGCTTGCTGCTGCCCAGTCCAGTTGCTGACACCGGCTCAGCGTTCAGGTGCTGCACGCACTATTTGCGCTGTCCAGAGTGCACCTCAGCAGCAGTGTTGCCCCGGCACGATTGCGTTGCTGCCGTTACCCTGCTGCTAAGATGCTCCACTCCGGCCATGGCTCGCCCGTACCAAGAGTGTGCTGGCCCCCAAATGCCCAGCGTTCAGGGCCCCAGTGCTTCTTTTTCAGTGGGTCGCCCTTGGTTCCTCTGAATGGATGGCCCCACTCCGGCGTCTGGACCCGCTTACCTCATCTCCAAGCTCCGGGGGACCAGCACCCAGCACCCAGCACAAACACCAACACCAATACGAACACCAACACCAAACCAACCAGCACACGCATCGTAAGCTGGGTCTTCGCCCTCCACCACCTCACCTCCGAACCACGCCACCGGGCCCCCGTCCGGGAGGTTCGAGGGTTCATTGCGCTCCATGTCTTGGTCCGAGTCAAACGTCCGTCTTTCTGCAGCCTGCGTCTGAATGCGCGCAGATGCACGCCAGTCGACCTGTCTTGCAGTACTGCTGCTCAATTGCAAACAAACTAAGGCACAATCCGACAGCCGTTCCATCAAAGACAAACCGTTCTTGCAGCCCTGCGCTCTCTCTCGTCCAGTCGCCTCTCGTCGCCTCTTCGCCTGTACTCGACAGTCCTCGCCCTGCACCCCCCGAATCGAGGTTACCGATTGGCCCTGCAGATGTACCTGGATCAGCCTGCTTGCTTGCTCTCTCAGAGACAGCCTCCCAGCTCCGGTGACCTCCCTCCGCCGGTAAAACCGTGCCCGGAAAAGGTTCCTCGGGCGAGATGAGCTGATGTGGGATCCTCAGCCCGCAGTGGCCAACAAATCCCGTTAAGACGCATAATCAGTTCATCGAAGTTGCTTTTGGCCGAAATGACTGTACACCCAGGAACAGAGACAAGACATGGAACCAGCTTCTCGCCCGCCCGGCGCAGCGACCACCTCCCTGCTCCCTGCTCCTAGAGGATGAGGGGGGGAGGCGACGTCGTGGCCAGCAAGGTGTGCCGCTGCTCCGCTGCTCCGGCCCTACATGGACTGCCCGGCATCGGATGTGCCCTGGCATCTCTCCGTGGATGCTCCAACTACACCAGACGCTGCATACATTCCATGCAACACGAGTACCTCTCTGCCACCCGTACGCCGTACGCAGTACACACTCCTATGCGGCGGCCAACATGCACGTTCGGGATCTCCCTATGATCTACCTAACCGTCAGGCAAATCTAAATCACACAGGCTAGTCTGTGCGAAGAACTCCGGCCGACTTGGCGATCTGATCACCAACCAGTCCCTTCCATGTCAACTCACCCGCGACGGAGCGAGCACCATGATTCTTCCCCATGCCGTTCATCAGCTAAAAAGCCTACAAAGAATCCCAACCGGGATCATCACAGAACATTCGTCACACTCACTCATCTCATCCCCAATAGAGGAGGCTTGGTACGTACTCAATATCAACCTGGCCCTGCCCACTCTCAGTTCAGTGACAAGAATATACACATCTGAGAGCCTCTCCTCCTCTTTCTCCCTCCCCTCACCTCACTCACTTCTTCACTTCTCTTCCTCCCAAATATTTTTTTTTGTCTTCAAGGAACGCCTAGAGCGCCAAACTTTCGCTGCACCATCTCTCGTTGATTCGACGAATGCCTGCGGTATAGAGAACGACTACAAACTGCGGTCTCCGCGATCCTTCCCTCTCCCCCGTCAGTCACCATGGCGCCCGGCGTCCTGTCCTACTCCTCCTCCGGGACATCGCCTTCGGCAAGTCCTGTAATGATGACCCCGATCGATCACTCCGACACCACTTCCGATGGCTTCACGAGCCTCTCTGTTGGGCCCCTAGACGGCACCGGCCTTGGCATCAACGGCCAGTCGACAAACGGCCACTCCAACGGTCACTCCAGCAGCAACGGCCACTCCAATGGCGCCTCTTATACCAACCCCGTTGGTGGCAGCGACGCCGGCCTGAAGCAGATGCCCATCGCCATCGTCGGTATGGCCTGCCGCATGCCCGGCAGCGTCTCCAGCCCTGCCGAATTCTGGGAGCTGTGCTCCCGTGCCAGAACCGGCTTCACGCCTGTGCCCAAGAAGCGCTTCAACCACGAGGCTTTCTACCACCCCAACCCGGGCAAGACTGGAGCTTACCATGCCGAAGGTGGTAACTTCTTGGACGTTGACCTGGAGTCCTTCGACGCCCCGTTCTTCGGGCTGACAGAAAAGGAGGCCATCTCAATGGACCCTCAGCAGCGTCTGCTGCTCGAGTGCACGTTCGAGGCGCTCGAGAACGCCGGTGTTCCCAAGCACACAATCGTTGGAAAGGACGTTGGTGTGTTCGTCGGTGGTTCCTTCGCAGAGTACGAGAGCCACCTGTTCCGGGATAGCGACACGATACCCATGCACCAGGCCACAGGTATGAGGATGACCCCTGCACCCCAGACATTAACGCACGCTAATATGCCCCTTCAGGATGTGCCCATGCGATGCAGTCCAACAGGCTTTCACATTTTTTCGATCTCAGGGGACCTAGTTTCACAGCAGACACTGCTTGCTCTGCGAGTTTGGTCGCCCTTCACTTGGCGTGCCAGAGTCTGCGCGCCGGCGAGTCCACCTCCGCCATTGTTGGTGGCTGCCATCTGAACATGCTCCCTGAGTTTTGGATTTCCTTCTCTTCGTGCAGGTGAGTGAAACCGGTATTCGCGTGGAAGCTTCAGCGTGTTCCGTGATGTTAACAAAGCGCTCTGCAGATTGCTCGCAGACTCAGGCCGCTCCATTGCTTTTGACCAGCGTGGTACCGGTTTCGGTCGTGGCGAAGGCTGTGGTATCATCATCCTCAAGCCTCTTGACCAGGCCATCAGGGATAATGACTCCATCCGCGCTGTCATCCGCGGTACTGGCATCAACCAGGATGGAAAGACGCCAGGCATTACGATGCCCAGTGGCGCAGCACAGGGTATGCATCAAAACTGTCTCCAGGACCGTGAAACCAAACGCTGACAAAAACTCGTGCAGAGAAACTCATGAAGCAGGTCTACAGGAATGCAGGCCTTGACCCTCATGACACTGGTTACGTCGAGGCTCACGGTACGGGTACCAAGGTTGGTGACCCCATCGAGGCCACCGCCCTTCACAACGTTTTTGGCAACAACAGATCCGCCAAGGACCCTCTTTTCATCGGCTCCGTGAAGTCCAACATTGGTCATTTGGAGGCCGCCTCCGGTATCGCCGGAGTCATCAAGGCTGCGATGATGCTCGAGAGAGGCTTCCTCCTGCCCAACCATGACTTCAAGAAGCCCAACGAGAAGATCCCTTGGAAGGAGTGGAACATGAAGGTTCCCGCCACCCAGAGGCCGTGGCCCAAGAACAAGAAGTACATCAGTGTTAACAATTTCGGATTCGGCGGTACGAACGCCCACGTTGTTCTTGAGAAGGCACCTTTCGTTGCCAATCCCAGAGACAAGATGCTGCCTCCTGTTGAGGCCAAGAAGGTCAAGGGCACCAAGAAGCTGTACGTCTTGTCCGCCAACGACAAGAACTCCGTTCAGGAAGTCATGAAGAACCTCGTCGTCTACCTTGAGCAGAGACCCGAGATCTTCCAGCACGATCTGATGGAGAACATTGCTTACACTCTTGGCTCGCGTCGCTCCATGCTTCCGTGGAGGGCCGCCATCGCCGCCGACGACTCTTTCGACCTCATTGAGACCCTCAACAGCGGCAAGGTCATTCCCGGCAAGGAGGGTGAGCCGTTGAGAATCGGCTTCATCTTCACCGGTCAGGGTGCCCAATGGTGGGGCATGGGTCGTGAGCTCTACGGCCAGTTCCCCGTCTACGCTGCTGCCATTGACAGAGCCGACGAGTGCCTGAAGAAGTTGGGCGCCGAGTGGTCTCTCAAGGCCGAGCTCAACAAGGACCAGGAGACCTCCAAGGTTTCTGACGCTCACATTAGCCAGCCGGCTTGCAGTGCTGTCCAGCTCGCGTTGACGGATCTGCTCCGTACCTGGGGTATCCGCCCTGTGGCTGTTGCTGGTCACTCGAGTGGTGAAATCGGCGCTGCCTACGCTGCCGGTATCATTGGCTTCGATGCCGCCATGGCTATTGCCTACCACCGTGGTAGACTCATTCCCATTCTCAAGAAGAGACACCCCGATCTCAAGGGTGCTATGATGGCCGTTGGCGGTACCAAGGAGGAGGTCCAGCCCATGATTGACGCTCTGAAGGAGCAGCAGGTCAGAATTGCCTGCTACAACAGTCCTTCCAGCTTGACCATCTCTGGTGACGTCGCCGCTCTAGGCGAGCTCGAGAAGAACCTCGAGGAGAAGCAGATGTTCAACAGACGCCTGCAGGTCGAGACTGCCTACCACTCTCACCACATGAACCTCGTTGCCAAGGAGTACCGCGAGTCCATCTCCGAGCTTCCTCACCCCCGCACTACCGAGGTCCGCTTCCACTCCTCGCTCTACGGCCACCAGATCGACGGCTTCGAGTGCCAGGCTCACTACTGGGTCAACAACTTGACCTGCGCCGTCCGCTTCTCTGAGGCTCTTGAGACCATGCTCGAGCCCGTTGGTGACCACAAGCACGGTGTCAACATGCTCATCGAGCTGGGCCCCCACTCTGCTCTCCAGGGCCCCATCAAGCAGATCCTTAAGCACGTCGGCGACAGCGCCACGAAGATCCCCTACGCTGCTCCTCTCATCCGTAAGAAGGATGCCGTCGAGTCTGCTATGGAGGTGGCCAGCAGTGTCATTCTCAAGGGTGCCATCCTCAACATGGACGCCATCAACTTCCCTAAGCCCGGCAAGAAGCCGTCACTGTTGACCGATCTGCCCCGCTACGCCTGGAACTACTCCAACAAGTACTGGCAGGAGTCGCGCATGACGCAGATGCACAAGTACCGCAAGTCGCCTCGCAACGACTTGATCGGTCTTGAGGCTATCTACTCCAGCGACCTGGAGCCCACCTGGAGAAATATTGTCCACCTGGACGATCTCCCTTGGCTGCGTCACCACCAGATTCAGGGCTTGACTGTCTTCCCCATGGCTGGCTTCATCGCCATGGCCCTTGAGGCCTCCGCCCAGTGGGCTCAGCGCAAGGAGCTTTCCTTTGAGAAGTTCGAGCTGAGAGACATTTCCGTCATCAAGCCTCTGGCTCTCAACGACACTGACGTCGAGATGACCATCAACCTCCGCCCCCACCAGGAGACCAACCTCAGTGCCTCTGAGACCTGGAAGGAGTTCCGCATCTGCTCTTGGAGCCACGGCAGTGGCTGGACTGAGCACTGCGTCGGTCTCATTGCTCTCCACGGCACCGAGACCAACGAGGTCGACGGTGAGGAGCAGAAGCTTGCTGCTCTCCGCGGTGCCGAGGCCACCATCAAGGCCAGCGAGGGCCCCGACGCTGTCGATGTCAACGAGACTGAGATGTACGAGCGCCTCACTGACCTTGGCGTTGGCTACGGACCCTCTTTCCAGGGTGTCAAGGCCTGCAAGGCTTCCAACAAGTTCTCCCACGGAAGCATCTCATCTGCTGATATCATTGCGGACATGCCCAACCACTACATGACCAGTACTGTTCTCCACCCCACCTTCTTGGAGTCTCTCATTGAGATGTACTGGCCCATCCTCGGTGCTGGTCGCACTGAGCTCAACACCGTCTACCTCCCCTCCTCCATCGCGAGACTTTGCATCGCCCGCGACATCACTGCTCTCACTAAGGAGGCTGGCAGCTCTCTCAAGGCCTACGCCAAGGCCGACTTCTCCGCGACCGAGGCCCGTCCCACCAAGGTCTCCATCTTCGCCACCAACGAGAAGAAGGACATTGTCATCGAGATTGACGAGCTCACCGTGTCTCCCATCATTGATGGCCAGACCGATCTCGGCAACAACCCTGCCCGCGAGCTCTGCTACAAGCTCGAGTGGGAGAACATTGGCGACCTCAAGTCCCTGTCCGGCAAGGGCAAGAAGAACGCCTCCAACGGAGTCAAGGTCGATGCTCCTCTCCCCGATGTTGACGTTGCCATCATCCACGGCGAGTCCAACTCCCAGCAGATGTTGGCCAACGGTCTCGCCATCGCTCTGGCAAGCTCCACCTCCAGACTCCCCGAGATGGGTGCTCTGCACGAGGTCAACACCGAGGGCAAGCTTTGCGTCGTTCTTACCGAGATCGAGCAGCCCTTCCTTGCCAACCCTACCAAGGAGCAGTTCGCTGATATCCGCAACATGATTGCCGGTGTTCAGGGCTGCCTCTGGGTTGTCCGCGGTGCCTACGACAAGGCTACTTCTCCCGAGTCTAACATGATTGTCGGTCTCAGCAGAACCGTCCGCTCCGAGTCTGTCCTACCCTTCGCCACCCTCGACTTGGACGCCAACAACGAGCTGGACGAGGATGACGCTTCCGCCGTCATCTACGAGATCTTCAAGCTGGCCTTCAACACCAACGCTTCCTCCACCAGTGAGCTTGAGTTTATGGAGCGTTCCGGCAAGTTCTTCACTCCCCGCATCATCCACGATGAGGAGATGAACGAGTTTGTCCACCGCGAGACCAACCCCAGCATCGTCGAGCTCCAGCCCTTCGGCAAGGACGACCGCAACCTGAGAATGGAGTTCTCCACTCCTGGTGCCATCGAGACCGTCCACTTCGTCGATGACAACCTCGTCAACCAGCCCCTCGGCGACGAGGAGGTCGAGTTCGAGGTCAAGGCCGTCGGCATGAACGTTCGCGATGTCATGCTCGCTAAGGGACAGATCCCTGACGCCGATAAGCACGCCCTTGGTGTCGAGGCTGCCGGTATCATCACCCGTGTTGGTTCCGCTGTCAAGTCGCACAAGGTCGGTGACCGCATCGCTGCCCTCACCATCACCCATGGTGCCTACGCCACCCGCACTCGTACCACGGCCGCCAGCATTATGCCCATCCCTCCCAAGATGTCCTTCGTCGACGCTGCCACCCTGCCCTTGGCCTACTGCACTGCCTACTACAGCTTGGTTGAGCAGGCTCGTCTCCGCGAGGGCCAGCGTGTGCTCGTCCACTCTGCCGGTGGCGGCATTGGCCAGGCCTCCGTCTGCCTCTCCAAGATGATTGGTGCTGAGGTGTTCGTGACCGTCAGCTCCGCCGCCAAGAAGAAGCTCCTCATGCAGCACTACAATGTTCCTGAGGACCATATCTTCTACAGCCGCAACACCACCTGGAGAGCTGCTGTCCGTCGTGCGACCAACGATGAGGGTGTCGATGTTGTCCTCAACACCCTCCCGGGTGCTGATGCCCTCAGGGAATCTTGGGCTTGTCTCAGCCGCTTCGGTTACCTCGTCGATGTTAGAAGGAAAGATGGCTCTCGCGCCACCCGCCTCGACATGGGCCAGACCGACAGCAACGCCTCTTTCTTGAGCGTCGACATCTTCGGCCTTGCCGCCGAGAGGCCCAAGATCATGGAGAGACTCGTCAAGGATGTTGCCAAGCTCCTTGCTGACGATGAGCTTCGCCCCATCGACCCTGCTACCGTCTTCCCTGTCTCCACCATGGAGACTGCCTTCAAGACGCTGCAAACCTCCCAGGGTCCTGGCAAGTTGGTCGTCGTCCCCAGCGCCTCTGACGTCGTCATGGCCACCCCCTCCAAGGGAATGACGGACCTTCTGAAGGCTGATGCTACCTACCTCCTCATCGGTGGTACTGGTGGTCTCGGTCGCTCCATGTCCAGATGGATGGTCGCCCACGGTGCTCGCAACCTTGTCCTCCTGTCCCGTTCCGGCTCTGCCACCGGCAAGGTCAAGGAGCTCATTGACGAGGCTGCTGCTGAGGGTGCCCACATCACCGTCCGCTCTTGCAACGTTGCCGACCGCGCCAGTGTTGAGGAGCTTTTCAACTCTGGTCTCAAGGGCCTGCCTCCTGTCCGCGGTGTCATTCACGGTGCCATGGTTCTTCGCGTAAGTCCTTTACCTACTCCCTGCATACACACAACCGCTAACAACTTCTCAGGACGTTCTCTTCGAGAAGATGACCTACAGTGACTACACCCAAGTAACAGAGTCCAAGGTTCAGGGTGCCTGGAACTTCCACCACGCCCTGCAAGACCGCTCTATCCCCTTGGATTTCTTCGTCGCCATCTCCTCCGCCGCCGGTGCCGTCGGTAACAGAGGTCAAGCAGCCTACGCCGCCGCTAACTGCTTCCTCAACGCCTTCGTCCAGCACCGCCTCGCCAACGATCTCCCCGCTGTCTCCCTCGACCTCACCGCCGTCTCCGACGCCGGCTACGTCGCCGACGGTGACGCCGAGCGCGCCGCTGAGATCATGAAGAACCTGGGCTCCGACACCATCTGCGAGGCCGAGGTCCTTGCCCTCCTCGGTGCCTCCATCTCTGGCAAGACCTCCGTCGCCAACCACCACATCATCACAGGTATGCGCATCACGCCCGCCGTCCAGCCTTTCTGGACGCCCGATGCCAAGTTCAAGGGCATGCGCCTCGCTGCTGAGGAGCTTGCAGCCCTCGAGGCTGGCTCCGGCGCTGTCTCACTCAACGCCGCGCTCAAGGCGTCTCGCAGCGAGACCGAGGCTATGGATGTCGTCTGCCGCGGCCTTGTCGAGAAGATCGCCGCTGTGCTCATGATGGAGATGGAAGAGCTCGACATCACCCGCAGCTTGGCGCATTACCCTCTCGACTCGCTTGTTGCCATCGAGATCCGTAACTTCATTACTCGCGAGTTCGAGGCGAACATGCAGGTCTTGGAGTTGCTGTCCAGTGGTAGCATCCAGACACTGACCAAGGCTGTCTGCAAGAAGAGCAAACTCTGCGTCGGCTTTGACTGGAGCAGCTAGATTGATGGTTGATTGAGATAGTTTGTGGATTTTGAGAGTGTGAGAGCGCAGCATTTCCTTTTTCTTTGACTTGTTCATTTTATCTACAACACACAAACGAAACGGTCACAGTACTGCATGAAGATGATGAAAGCTATTTCCTTATTTCTAACTTAGATTGTTCGATGGAGGGAACAGAACGACGACGACGAGAGGGAAATATAATTACCTATTATATCATACGGGAAACAAACATGATGTGGGAACAGATGGGAGAAGGCGTATCTATGGAATGGAAAGGATCAGGTGGTCGGTTGGTTGGTACACGGGACACAAGGGCGACCAGACCACAATGCTGGGTCTCCTTTTCATTATTTTTCTGTATCTCTTTTCCTTGTTTTGTGTTCTTTTTCATGTTGTCCTGAGTGTGTGTCTCTATGGTCTTTGGGGAGGGGTAGTACCGCCTGGACATTTGCGGTCATGGGATGGGATGGAAGAGAGCTGAGATGGGGAAGACGGGAGAGAGATTGGAATCATTGGGATTGGGAGTTTTGATGTCATATTCTTCAGATGTTCTCTGATTTTCTGGATTTGAAGTGTGGGTTTGTGGTGTGAGATTAGAATTTGCAGACTTTCCTTAGTAAACATGGCATTTACTATCCTAAATAATTTTAGATGTCCCATTTGCTTGTTGGCGACGAGGCGACTCCATGGTGGATATGGGGAATGAGGAAGATAATTGATTTGGACAGCGAGTCAAAAGTCGGGCAAAGGTGCGAATCAGAAAGGGGGTCTGGATAGCGAGATGGATCGCATAACGGGGTGTGAGCAAGACCGGACGATGAGATTGAATCTCCTCTTCTTTCTTTTGTGTGTGTGCGTTTCTTTGCTTCTCTTTTCTGTCTAGTACTCATGAAGCAGCATCATGTCGGTATCATCTATAGAAACGTAGGGAAATCTTTGGACGTCTTCCCAAGCTTCTATCGTGGCTCCTGTGCTGATCCCAATCTCTTCCATTCTGTCAACGAGAAGCTTGGTGATTGAATGATCCCGACCAAAATACATGAGAGCCATTTCCAAAGGCGTTCCTCCATCTCTGCCTCGAGAAAATCTCCAGCTTTTGGCTTCAGCGGGCAGACTGGCGTCAACCTGGCCTGAATCAAGTAAGCAACGTGCTATGGGTTCCTGTTTCTCGGCTTGGTACTGGGGATTTTCCCTTCTCTCCCGGCGGTCGGAGTAGTAACCCCCCATCAGTACGTGATGCAGCGGCGTGTTTCCCCAATCATCCACTGCACTTGGATTGGCATTTGCCCTCCCCAGAAGGTATTTGACCATCTCCACATGGCCCTCTCCAGCAGCCAACATCAGAACTGTTTCTCCTCTCCAATTTTTCAACTCTATATTAATCCTTTCCGATTCTACAAGAGCTTTTACGATATCGGCATGGGCTCTCTTTATGGCATGCATCAGAGGAGTTTCCTGTGACCCGGTCTCGGCGTCGAGGTTCGGTTTGTTCGATTCTATGAATGGTAGAATTCTTGCCACTTCACCTATGGTAGCAGCGATGGCGACTGGGGGGTAACCGCCCTTAGAGTACTTCGAATCCACGTCAATCTCATCCTTACTCAGCAGCCACTCAACAAAGTCGACCCTGCCCCCCATAACGGCATAGGAGAGAGGCGTGAGCTCTCTGCTATCTTCAATATTGATATCGGCCTGGTTGGTAAGAGGATTATCTGTTTACGCTCGAAACACGTATAACTCACCTCGACTCCATACCTTTCGAGAACAATCGTGAATGCCTCTCTTAAGCCAAAGAAAGCTGCGAGATGAAGACCAGAGACTCCCGTCACGTCCATCTCATAAGCGATATCACTATCAAATGACCAGATAACGTCAGCGGCAGCATCAAGATTTGCTTCCCGACCCATCAGGAAAGACAGCAACCCCTCGGACGGAGGTGATATATTTCGAGCGTGCTTTCCCCATTCGGTGGCTGCGTAGTCGTAAAGCGGGCTTCTCCACTGGCGCAAATCGTACGTTGTAACGCCGGGCCCAGCGTTCAACTCGGAATCGGAATCGTATGCATCGCGACTCAAAGCGTCGAAAGAGAGGTAGGTGACGCACGATTCTACTATGAGTTCTTGCGCATTAGGTAACCAACGTTCAGCAGTCCTCTCAAAGAATTCTTGCGTGGTGTAGTGGACGAGACGAATGACCTCGCTTTCTTCATCGATAGTGATCAATCCAGCGCAGACACACAATATCTTCCAGATCGGTGATGTTGTCTTCGTCCAGTCCAGCTGTGCCTAATTCAACAGCAAGAGCGTGTTGCAACTCCCATGTCTTAAGTGGCCGTGTAGCGCAAACTATCCAAGACAACGCGTCTTTGGCGAGTGTCTTCTGTTCTTCGAGCTGTCCTTCGATGCGCTCCATGGCTTCTTCGTAGGCAATATCGTAGGCCGTATGTCCGCTCGAAAATTTACGGAGGGCCTCTTTAATGGATTTTGCTGAACGTTTGCCTTGCAGCGAGTCTAAGTAGAGTTGGGCCAGCAAAAACCTTGCGAAAGAAATTTAGCCCGATTATTCAGCTTTAGGGGATATTGCATAGCTCACATTCCTTGGACAGCCTGGACGATGCTGTGCTTGACTTCGCCTTGTAGTTGGGTGCTCTTTCTTACAGCTTGAGGGAGCTTGTACATGTGACCATCCAGGAATTCCGTGACATCTTCATCAGTGGCCCGGATTTCGACCGATGGAGCGTCTTCAAAGTGGCTCTCGATTTCTGGTATATGTCTAGAAGTCGCGAAGATGTTGACATTTTCAGACTTGGAGAGTCCCAGCACGGTTTTGAGAAGCTGGTCTCAATACCCTTCATCTCCGGGAAACTCATCTAATGCATCGGCAAGTATGTACACCTTGTCAAAGCAAGACATCACAGACCGAAGGCATGCTATGATTTCTGGCATCGACATCGGAGTATGGTCCTTGGGACTTTCATGCCTTTCATACGCTTGCTCCACGTCATTGAGTCCAGTTGGTATGGCCCAATAAAGCTGCTTCAGAGTACCTGCGAGTAAGTCCCGAGGCTTTTGCTGATCGTGCCGTCGAAAGTTACAGAATACGTAGGCGATTCCAACTGCAGGATCCTGACCAAACCGATCTTGGAGGTGGTCAATGACGATTGACGAGAGCATCGTCTTTCCAGCGCCTGGTATTCCAGGGCAAAAGAGCGTCTTTCGATCTTCCTTGATCCAATTTTGAAACTCTGGAGATTCGAGAAGCCATTGCCCAGTTCCCTCTTGTCTCCTCTCGAGGTTGTCAATCTGCTGTGCTGCAAAGTCGATCGGCGTGATCCAATTTAGAATCTGCTTCTTCTTTTCGTCCAGATGCCTTTCGTCGAGGTCTTTTCGCGTAGATCGGACCTCAAGATTGGTATTGAGAGCAATTGCAGTGTTGTCAATCAAGATCTTGCTGTTGATATCTTGGCATCGCCGCTGCACGTTTTCGATTGCCGACTGTGTCTTTTCGTTAGAAAATGCCGCCTTTAGTCGCTCCCATCCGAAGCGACTCCCGCCAAGTCGCTTCTGAAGGCTTTCGAGCACATCCTCTAGCTCTTCTTTACAAGTGAAGAGCAGGGCTGAGTCGTCTGAGTTTGATGGCGCCGCCAGATTCGACAAGACCGCAGAATGTTTGCCCTCAAAGGCGGAGATGAAATCAGGATTCTGGATGAGGTGATTGTAGCTTTCCCAAAGAGTCTTCTGCAAGCCATCAACCTCGCTCTTGAACTTCTTGGCATCGCCTGGGGCGTCTCGCCAGTTCAAGCCCAGCTTGGTGCATGTCGCGAGAATTTGACCTGCCACGCCGATGATGCCAATGATCCCGGACGGATCCATGTTGAAAGCACTCCGTCGCGCGACGGTCAACACTCACGGCATGCGAGATCACAATGGGTAAGAGGACAAGAAATCAGTGCCCATCGAGATGGAAATGAGGAGAAGCTGGCTGCCAAGAGTCAGCAGTGGTCAAGTGTCTGCCAACTCAGCCTGCCGATAATCACAGCCCCAAATGCGCATGCGTCTCCGTATCGGCGTCAATGAACCAATCTGGACTAAGAATTTGGAGGCAATGACGGAGCCCACGCATCTCACCACGTAGTCTCTGACCAATCTGATTCGCTTCGCGATACTGGGTTGCATCGAAACGGTTACCCCATTGGCTGTCATCTGCATCAAGTCAGCGGCACGGCAGGCAAACATGCACGCGGTTTGAACACTGCCCCATGAGCGGTAATTTTGACTATCCCGGTTCGGCCCCTTTTGAACCCCTTGCTCCAACGTACATATCGGCATGCTCAGCCTGCTTCTGATCCAACTGACTGTTCAGTTGGTCGCTTTGCGTTTGACAAAGTCCAGTCCACCCCCATAATTGTTGGATGGTGCGGCGCGAAGGGCGCGGTATGTCTTGAGGGCAGTGACGGACTTACGAACATGTCATGATTTACCAAATCTCGTATCGGTCTGTTATTTCGGTCTATGAGAATGGGATGGCGCAAGATTCTGTTCGAATTTTGTGGCGAACATGCAGCCAACCACTCAAATTTGGCTTGACTTCGAGTGAGAGCTGTCAGAGAGAACCCGGGGCGATGGATGATCTAATCTTAAGGTTCTGACGCCTGGTGTTGATACTCACGCGGATCTCATAGCGTGCTTCCGGAAGCCTTTCTCATTCGTGCTCAAAGAGCGCCACTGATCAACTCCAAAGAAAGAGTGATCGCGGGGAAACGCTCGAACTGAACACGGGGAAACTCTTTCGGGAACAAATTACCTAAGAGATGGGATTTGTCTGAGTTTGCAAGACATTGCGGCGTTGGTGGCAGAAAGCTGTTCAATTGCCCTTTCCCCCAACCGATTTGCCGACTCACAACGATCTAAGATCAATGCGAAAAGCGGTTAGCGGCCACGGTGAAAATAGCCGCTTCCGACAGCTCAGCTTAGTTGCAAAGCCACGTCCAAGCGAGCTAGCTCTAGGGTCGTGTTCTAGAGCCCACACAGCTGGGAATTGCCAAGAAGCCAGTGCCAACAAAGTTAGTCCCCTGGCTTGAGTCCAGCTCGGGTTATGCGCGTGAAACGACCATTCACTTGCGAGCTGCTCATCTCGTGAATGGACCACTAATAGTTCAGCACGCGATGCCGCCAGTCGTGCATACTGCTTTGCACTCAGGAGAATGCACGGCCTGGTTTGGGGAGCTTGCGGGGAGCTTGCGTGCTGGCAGGCCGAGAACGTTCAATGCTCTCGTTGCCGAGAACACCTAGACTCGCTTGCGTTGCTGCTGATGCACCTTTAAAGGGAGCAAGCGGCTCCTAGACTTTGCGAAGATGACCTTGTTCGCTGCTCTGCAACCCCTGAGATTCCCGGTTGATCACTCCCTACTTTGGGGTCCACTATGAGCAGGGCCGCGGTTTGTTTCATGGGTCGACAATGAGAACTGTTGCAACAAAGATAGAAACACTCAAGGTTGTTCCAACTGCAGAGGCAAACACTCACTTCGCCAGAGGCACAACCTTGACAAACTCAATCTCCGGGGCACAACAAAAAGCGTTGGATCCTTAAAGTCGCGTGTGGGAAATGCAGGGCAGGCTCTGCTCTCCCTATTTCTCACTCGGAGTCTTCAAGGCCATGTCTGGATGAGACCACGACCATCATGTCATCACCGATTGCGAAAACCGAGTCTCAGGCATCTGTGCAAGTCTACGAGATGTCCTCTCTTTACGCGGGCTCACAGCGCGAACTTCTTCCGACTCCACAAAAGCATGGGCACCCGCGACAATGGGGGAAGTCACGAAAGATGTATGATACTTGTCTTATCATCTTTCTGGAATTCTTCACGTATGTACAAACGTCTCTTTATGATCACAAGCGTACTGACTCAGTGGCTTTTAGTACCATGGTTAGCACTGCAGGAGTAAGTTTGCCTGACAGTTTGGCATACGATTAATACTCACTCCTCATCAGGCGCCGATCTCTGAACATCTCCATCGGGAATCAGGTCTCAGCTCAGTTGCCGCAACTGCTTCACTGGTCTCAACCTATCTCGTCGGTCAAGCAATTGGAGGAGTTGTCACTCCCCCATGGTCGGAATCTTTTGGCCGCAAGAAGCTCTACGTCATCAGCACGATCCTCTATAGCATTTCATGCGTCGTGGTGGGAGCCATGCCCACTATCCCTGTCATCATCGTCGGACGCCTTGTGGCAGGCCTCCTGTCTTCTGTCCCAACGGTGATTGCTGTGGGCAGCATTGAAGATATGTGGGACACTCAAGCGAGAGTGTGGTGGGTGTTCACATGGGCTCTGGTTGCCAACATTGGTATTCTATTAGGACCGGTATTTGGCGGTTTGATCATTGAATCCCTCCACTGGTAAGTCATATGTGATCCATAGTACCTGAGGCGATGAAGGGCTAACACCTTTCTAGGAAATGGATATTCTTCACGTCGGCCATCGTCACTGGAGTTGCAGCGGTGCTCCTGTGCTTGATCAAGGAGTCGCGACCATCAGTTGCCTTGGCTAAGATCGAGGCTTCCGAAACTGGCGTCCGGCCCAATGTGCGCGAAAAGCTTGACCTTGTTCGCCCTCTTCGACTCTTCTTTACAGAACCCATCGTATTCATGGTTGCGATCCTAAGCGCAATCGCCTTCGGACTTATCTATCTCTTCACGGAGGTTTTGCCGATGGTCTACCTTCATCTCGACTTCCAACATGGCTGGAAGAACATTCCCTTTCTAGCACTTGGGATCGGCATGGTCTTGAGCGTTTTCACAAGGGTTTACGACTCCCGCCTACTCGCCAAGAAGACTGCAGCCTGCCTTCCGATCACACCGGAATCAAAATGCATCGGCTTTGTCATTGGAGCACCTTTACTGGCTGGAGGTCTCTGGCTGTTTGCGTGGACGATCCCGCCACAGGTTGTGTCCGTCCACTGGATCTTCCCAACGCTGGCTCTTGTTCCAATTGGCTACGCGGTCAATGAATTCGACCACGTCTTAGCCGGTTACCTCACCGACTGCTACGAGACCTACGCAGCTAGCGGATTCGCGGCTCTAGCACTTACACGGTCACTATGCTGCGCCGCATTCCCACTGTTCGGTCGCATCATGTTTGACTCTCTCGACTTCAACATTGCTACGACCATATTTGCTGGCTTAGCTACTGTGATCTGCGTGGTCCCTCCGTTAATGATCAAGTATGGAGGATGGCTGCGGAGGAGGAGTCCGTTGGCAGCCAAGTAAAAAAAGGATTGAAAGTGGTATGACTGCGCCAAGGGAAGCTTCATGCCCTCAGGCTTGCCGATAGAATTCACGACATGAAAAGTAAAAGTTTCTTAATGATTAATCATACACGCATTTTACCAGTTTCTCACTTCCTTACTTAACAGTCGTCATTGCTCGGGACCAGTGAATCACGAAATCTTGAGGTTCTCAAGACTATGAAAATTTCAGGAAACATCAAGGGTCAGGATCGTAACCAAGACCAAGACTGTATCACGCTCGACATTCTTGAAGTGGGTTTCTCATCAGCCTTTTGACATTTGTGAATCAGGGTCCTTTACTACAGATTCGAACACGGCATCTTTCAACTTTTACAAGTTCTGCGAGACATTTATCTTGCGGCGTAGAGTTCGAAGAGTTGCTTCAGTGAGCGCACTGGAAATTCGGCTGACACCATGCAAACGCCGACACTTGCTGTCACCTTCAAAATGTGGCCCGGAAGCAAGCCGGCTTTAATGAATACACGTATTCGAGATGTGGGCGATTTCTAAAGCGAGCATGATTGGCTCGGCAGTCACCGAATACACGTATTTACAAAATAGGAAAGTGGGTTTCGGTGTGAAGCCGTCAGCTTTGGTCACGATCTGCACCTGGCACGTATTGAAATTTGTGCACAGCATCTAGCGCGGGGGCATACGACGTTGAGCATGATGGCTCAGCTGTGGCTATGGCGGTTATTTTATGATACCAAGGCCTTTACAAATAGGCTATCTACCAGAATATTTCCTTTCTCGTGACCCCCAATGTCCAACAAGCGCGTCCTGGCTACGAAGCGACCCTCACATAGACTTGTGCATTTCCAGGACTACGCCCGCCACGACTTCAATGCTCTCCGCAACGCCAAGAACCTCTAACGCCGGCCATGAATGATCGAACAACGTATCGACGCTCCCACAAAAAATCTCGCAATGGATGTGCAGAGTGTAAACGACGTCACATGAAGGTACGCTCAGGCAGCGAGGTTGATACCCGGGCCAACTCCATGCTGACGGGATAGCTCTAGTGTGACGAGACCTGGCCCAGATGCGCCAACTGCGTAACTGTGGGCCGAAGATGTGTTTTCCCATTATCTGCCGACCCGGACTTGTTGAGCACGCCGATGAGACCGGATGAAAATCTTGTTGGCTCATCCGGAGCGACGACGCCGAATGACGATACGAGTTCCGGGTCACCTTCAGGACGGAGCCCTGCCGTCATTTCAGCCCCGGACTTGACCCACCTCACGAGCGGAGACAACGTTTCCGGCCCGCTAGAGTCGGACGTGGCAATCAATATGGCTCACATGAAGTTGTTGATACACTTCTCTCTCCGTATGGCCATCCCAGAACTTGATGAGCATCTCATTGAGCTGGGCACGCGCTTAACCGTAAAGACCGGTGCTGAGGTGCCATATCTTCTCCATGAAGCGCTCTCATTATCTGCACGCCATCTTTCAATGACAGTGTCGGAGAGAAGTTCCGAATACCTCAATCTCGCTGTACAGCTACAGAACCGGGCTATATTGCTGTTCAACTCTGAAAAGGTTCGCGTTGACGAAACCACATGCGTCCCTATGATACTGTTCTCCTCCATCCTTGGCCGCCATCTTTGCATGGATGCTCTGGCATTTCGAAGTCCAGACTTGGGTCCGTTCTTGGATTGCTACGTCAACTTTGTTCGGGTTCACAGAGGGGTCAAATTCATAGTCAACCGAGGCTGGCCATTTCTCAAAGACTCAGAGCTCTGCCCCTTAGTTGCCTGGGGCATGGGGCTTGGCTGCTTGCGAAGTCGAGGACACGACTGCGACGATATCCTGAGGCTTTTGAATTCATACGAGGATATATCTCCTGACTGTTTGGAAGCATGTCACAGAGCTATTGAGTTCGTTCAGATTGCCGTGGATGACTTGCAAGTTCGGATGCTTACTCGAGGCAAACACCTGCACCAAATCGTGTTCTCGTGGTCTTTATTGGTTCCAGAAGCGTTCTCTAAGATGCTGGTACAACGAAAACCTGTAGCTATCGCTATTTTGGCACACTATGCTGCTCTTCTACACTTGGCTAGAGACCTATGGCAGATTGGCGATTCAGGCGCCTACCTCCTAAGCGTCATTTCGAAATACCTAGGGTCAGAATGGGACGAATGGCTGGCGTGGCCCCGAAGCATTGTTCTCTCGGAAGATATGGAAGTTGACATTCCGTTAAGACCATCGATCCCAGTATGAATGAACGTCAAGAAAACAATTCCAACACCGTATCATGGTCGTCCTGTCAATAAACACATACAAGTAACAACCCAGATGTCCAAGATTTGCGCAAGTGATACGTCTCAAGAATAGTCAGATATGGCCCTCTCGCAAAATTTGATCAGCGCGGCTTCCTGCCCTGTCCCCCCTTCCTCCTTGGTTTTCATCGCATTGATGATGTCTGCGCGAGGGTTTGGGTGGAAGCGACCCCATGGCTCAACCCAACGTCCCCCATCCTCAAGCGTAACGTCTGGCGAAAAACCAGCCCAGAGGTTTGTGTAAGCTCCGAATCGAGGATGATACAGCAGGGGCGAGACCAAAGCCCCGACACCCCAGTGGAAGTGACGAAGAAGTGGGGTCTTCAGGTTTCCCGGGTTCAGGACCAAACTGACAACACCACGAGGACCCAGCTCTTTGGCAAAATGGTCTGCTAGAAGCCAGTTGCCTGTCTTTGAGAGGGCATAGTTGACCTGCTGGTCATTTGTCGGCGCGAGAAGTTTGTTCACATCTATCCCGCCATCTGGTGCGCCGAGTTGCGTGGCGATTGAAGTGGTGAATAAGACACGGACCGACCCATTTGTTTCAGCGGCTCTGGCCGTTGAGATGAGGAGCGGACTTAGAAGCTTCGTGAGAAAGTAGGGCCCGAGGCAGTTGGTTGCGAGCTGCATTTCATGACCTTGCGCTGATACCCAGCCGGCGGGAGGATTGGAGACCCCAGCGTTGTTGAAAAGCCCATCGAGGCGTTCCTCTTCCGCCAAGAACTTCTCGGCTGCAGCCTTGATACTAACAAAATCATCGAGAGCCACTTTCAAGAATCGCAAGCCGCCCACGATTGAATCTGTCGTCGTATCTTTCTCAATGGCAGAAATGGCTTCGCGCGCCTTGACTTCATCTCGGCCTGCGATGTAGACAGTACCGCCGCGTTGCCAAATCATGCGGCTTAGCTCATAGCCAACCCCAGAATAGCCTCCTGTGACGATGAAAACTCGTCGTGCTTGATTCGGTACATCGGTCTCCACGAAGGTGGGAGACGGAGGGAAAAACATCGAAATCGTGTTGCCCATGTTGAACTGATCCTTCGTTAGTGAGTACCAGATGTCCTTCTTGGGAGATAAACAGCAACCTCGTATCGACGACTGTCAGAGCTAGACTATTGTGTGGTTTTGCGCGGCTGGTGAGAAAAAGTGTATGAAATCAATTTGAAGATTCAAAAGATAATGCAAGGAAGGAATCGTCAGTAGCTGAATAATGATGACGTCGAAGGCGCTAGTCGGGGTACATCGTAGAAATAGTGCACCAAGGCCATTTTGAGGGAGTCAAGTTGTCTTGACACGACGAAATAAATAAAGGAGAAGGTATTTGAAATTCAATGAAGATATCACCGCGTCTTCCCTCCATATCATCATATGATCTCAAAGACACACCTCGCCTTGAAGTCATCAGAACATGCTCGGAACTTTTTATCCGTCCTTGTCTCACTTCGCGCCATACCTTCCATGACCAACTTTCTCAGAACATCTGTTGTTCCAATGCAAGTAGACCGACTTCCACAAATAAAAACCTTCGCTCCCATGTTCCATAGCTTCATGACGTCCCGGCGGTCGGCCCAGACCCTATCCTGTACATCGCCTGTGAAGTCGTTTCCAGCTCCATGAGACAATGCGTACCGCAGATCGACGACCCCACTGCTACCAAGTTCTGAGACATAAATCGACTCATCCAAACCTTGACAGCCAACGAATAGCAAAGCTGGTGCAATGATGTCCCACAAAGCTGGGCGTCGGCGTAGCTGCTCAGCTCGATGCATTACAAATCCAACGAAAGGGGCGATACCGACCCCATCGCAAATCATGATGAGCGGTGTGCTCAATTCTGTGGGTGGTCGAAAGCGCGTATTGAATGCTTCTACGCTGCAGGCCACAGGGTCGCCCGTGCTTAGTTGAGAAAGATAATGTGACGCCATGCTAATCGAGGTGTCGCCGTCCTCATTACTCAGACCACGGGTCTTGCGGATGGCCATGGAGCAGATCAGCGAGCATGAGGATGGTGATTCGAGTGGCGATGATGAAATGAAATACGATCGAGGTGACAGTTCCGGCAGTATGGCACTTAGTTGATGTGCTTGAATCATGATACTGGGATATCCTTCGAAGAGCTGTAAGACGGACGGTATTAGATGGTTCGGCGCTCCGCCGAAGCTCTTTCTGGCCGCCTGGAATGTCGCTCTATCATGATCGTCGGTACAAGATTGAATCAAACCCTCGAGTTGCTGCTAACTGTCAGCTTCTCTTTAGGTGTAGAATCGTTTGGAGGAATATCATTACCTCGAGGGTCGTAGGTTGACACATATCGGCCTCTGAAAATAGGACGGTGCCCCCAGAAATAGCCATGCTATTGCGTACGTTCGTCATGCATTGGGGAAAACCGTCACCAACCTGTTGAATGTTTGGTGGGATTATCTTCAGAATATCGCCCATTTCGTACGTTGATCCTTTGGGCAGCTCAAGATCAATGCGATACATCGTCTCGATGCCCCTGCTTGCCATAAGCTTAACATCTTTGACACGAGCTTGAATTGTGTCATTCGTTTTTGGTGTTTCTTTTTCGAAGTCTTCTTTCATCGGAGGCACTTGCGGTGTCCCTCGGGTGTACGCGCTCGCCACGAATCCAGCACCGGATGGCCCGGAGCTCGAATATGTGCACACACTATCAGTTGTCTCAGGTCCCACCACCCTCATCACTAATGTATACCACTTTTTCGGCTCCGACGATTCTTGAATTTCAATCCTTGAGGAAGATTGTGACTGGCTGAACGATGTACGTAGGAGCGAAGAAAAGGTAAGATGTTTCGCGAGTGCCTCGTTGGAAGACGAAGCTATCAGCCTCAAATACTTGAGACCGCTGCATCTCGGTCTCGGTTCCAGAGCACGACATCAAAAGTATCCAGAAAGGATGCCACCCTAGTCGTAGATGGTCATGTCCTGATGAGACGACAGCAGCGGCAGTGGTTAATGTCTTGGCCATGGACCTAGTACAAAACAGAGTTTAAGCAAATGTAACGGACTTGGGATACCCGCAATCACCGCGGATCCCGCGGAAGTAGCTTAAAATTATTTCATATCAGCGTGTTGATTGGATTTTGAGAGGGGCGATAGTAGCCTTTCAACCAATGCATCCTTTTATTCGTACATGATTCCCTTTCCTCAAATAAGAGACCTCAATCGATTCAACTCCCCAGAGCGTACATGTCATAGAGACAAACGCCTCATTATTCAAGTCTCAAGACACAAGAAAACCTAAAGTCAAACAATAACAAAGCCAAGAGCAATTCGACAAACTCAGCCTTGGTTTCCGTTCAAGGGACTGGTATCCTCATTGAGTCCTGGCATAGACTGCGAACTGATTGGAAGACCCCAATCAGCCATCTGCAAAAACCCCGCAGAAAACCAATCATGCCCGCCAAGTGAGATATTCCCCCAATCGCCACCAAATTCGAGGCCGGGAGGTACGCGAGGCGAGGACGTCGAATGGATTCCGAGACTACTTGTGGCATCCGTAGCGAGTATTTGCGGGCAGGGGATCGTCGTTGTCGCCGTAATCTGGCTGCAGGGTCCTGGCGGGCACCCCAAAACCACAGACGAGGCGACTTCGTACAAAACCTTGATGATATGGTACGAAGCCACCGTCTGGTAATTCGGGTCATAGCTCTCAAAGAAGTTGATAACCATTTTAATGAGCTCCAGGTCTTGCAGGGCTGTTGTCGAGGTTTTGTTTTCGATGATGTTTACAAACAGGATGTCGACGCTCCAGGCCACCTGGTACAACAGATAACTAACCAAATTAGTACATAATCTCAAGGAAGACAATTGTTTACTCACATAGTGAATGGATGCTGCAATTGCTGGTGCTTCAACAATGCGATGGCTGCCCTCGCGGCGTTTACGCACAAAGCAACACTCGGTCGCAGACCATCGTCATCCTCGTCGAGAAGCGGCAACCGAAAAGCTGCAGAGTGAATAGCGACAACCAGTTGAAAATACATGAAGTTCAACACGGTAAGACTCATCAACTTGGTGTAATCAGCATCCAGTAAGTCCATCTGCGGCTTAGGGCGGATCAATTCCGGAACCCCTGTCCACCAGTCCTGCAATTCTGCATCTAGCTGTGCAATTGTAGACTCTAATGCAGCAGCCGACATTATCTCCTCGCCCTGGGAGTAGAGCTTTGAGTAGATGTGCCCTTGGATTTGGGACAGGCGAACCTGCTGGTGGAAGTAGCTGAGCGTAACATCGCCGGGATAGTAGTACACTCCGTATCCGTCGGCTGGAAACTCCTCAGGAAGTTCCAGGAGGAAGTCATCGCTGATGAGAGGCGGCTTGCCGATGCGAAGCATGAGATCATGATCGAGGACATAGGCTTGCCAGAATAGGCGGCGACGATGCAAGACATCCGCAGGATGGCTTAGCACTTTGTTTGGGTGGTCTGGGTTATGGTACCCAGCGAGGAGAATGAACTGAGTTGCAAGGGCAAGTATTGAGACAGCGATGTGATTTTCGGCTGAGAATATGAAATAGTAGACCTGTCTCGGGTCAGTATGAGTGTAGCATAAGATATTCAAAGAGGTGTATATTACTAGGGAGAGAAGAGACCCAATAGTCATGGGATTCGGCGTCTGTAGAATGGCATTCGGAATTAGAGCGAGAGCGTTGTTGAGATAATGCTTGTGCTCGGGGTTGTTGTTATTCCAGTCGCGCCTCCGCAATTCGTGCATGATGATGACGTTCAAGGCCAGCTCCCATCCCGGCTCATCACAGGGTTGGCCGTACATGTAAGCATTCACCGCTGCGCGAACTTTAGACTCCTGTAGGAGTCTTATGCCGTTGTTGAGTGTCCGCATGTACTCTAGGAGACATTGGTTAGTTATGTGGGCCACGTTGCGCAAGTGGAAGAAACATTACCGTTGACGCAGAATATGACAATGTCATTTGGGGGGAATGGGTAATCCCTCGGGGAAGTAGAAAAGTCGAGGCTTCTTTTCGGAGCGAAGCTCCTTACTTGTTGCAGAAGATTACGCACTGCATCTGAGTAACGAGTATCGCCAACCAAGGTGTCGATCTTGGCGATGCCCTCGGCTGAGAACAACGAGCACGATCCTAAGCAATGCGGCAGTGAGCCTCATGGCCTCTTACGATGTCAAGAGCGAAAACATACCGGCAGTCCCGACAGTACCCTCGGATGCTCCTGCGTAGTAGGGCTTTGCAGTTCTTGGTGAGCTCGAAGCCGGTGATGGTGGATACGAAGCTGGCGAGACTTGAGTTGAAATTGTCGACGCGGTGAGGGCCGGCTGAGGCGGGTTCGTGTTGGATGAGGACTCTTCAGGTGTCAAGACTTGTGGACCTTTCTTAGCAACATTTGCTTTCTTCTTGGGCGCCCTAGGTTCCTTGGGTTCCTTAGGCTCTTTCGGTTCTTGTAACTCCTCTACCAGACGCTCCATCTGCGCAAGCCTAGTGACGATGTTCTCGTAGAGCCTACATGATGACGTCAGTGATCTTGAACCTCAAAATTCTCACAAAACTCCAATAACCAGGTCAGTGGATGTACATACTTCTTTTCACCTCGCCGGATACTCTTCTTCCTCTCCGGCCAAACACACTCGCCGCCATATTTTCCGCATCCCGAGCATACCGGTCTTCTGTGGTCGCACTTGACCTACGACGGTGACATAGTCAGCATCTTACGCCACGGAAGACCGCGATACAGCATAATCAGCGCAGAGACATAAATCCACAAGAGTTCCAGCAACAAACCTTTCGGGTCCTGCATGCCGTACAAGAAAGCGACAAGGCCTTTGACGCCGACCGTTGGGCTTCCGACGTGGACTGCATCGTATTTCGGCCGGGGAGCGGAAGACAGAATACCGAACCATACAGCCAAGCGCTCAAGACCAAATGCTATGGAGAACAAAGAAGGGCCGGTCACGCACGGCAGGAGCAGAGAGCGGCGGCGCGGGATATGAGACAGTACGGCGTTTGTCCGGAGGTGCCGGGCGTGCCAGTTAGGCCGAACCGCGGTTTCTCGCGTTCGGCGCCCCCCGGTCTCGGACTACTTTTATCTCCAATGTCCGACGCTAAGACGGGCTTTGTGACCACAAATGGAATTGGGTTTCGGCTTTGATGTGAATGGGAGACCGTTTGCTGGCCCGCGCTCGGCCGTGAACCTTCGTATTGGTCGTTATCCTTTAGTAATGATTGGCTTATCCTGCCGGCTTCAAAGTCTACTCTGCACGCCCTAAGGAGTTGATTGATGTCAATGATGATTCACTCGGATACAGAATTGAAGTTGACTCATCGGCAAGAATCTTGTCGAAGGCTTGGATAAAATCTTCGATTGTCATGGGCGAGTCATGGTCTTGGAAGCTTGGCAAATGAAGACTTTGCTCCTGGTCGTTCAGGGAGAACGCTGCGTGAAGTGGGGCGACATTCCGTGATGTCGATTCAAATTTGGTGAATTCCTGCAGTGGTTCTCTGTCTCTGAAAAGCGAAAGTGAAAGTGAAACCCCAGATTTATCTTATTAGCACCAGTCCTTAAATTTTACAATGTCTCTGTCCTTGGAAGTTCAAACGGCATGTTCTACTGACGTGAACAACAGAAAAGCTACTTTCCAGCGAGCACCCTCCAACTTCCATCTGTTATTCTGGACAGAGTTGAAAAATGCATGTGACGACGCGATCGCGAATCGTCTGAACTATGACGAGAGCAGTAACAAACGATGCCGTGCATGTTCCAGCGTGTATCGAAATAGGGCGCTGTACCGTGTAAGATGGAAGCTGTCACTTGCAATCGAAATCTGCACAACTAACAAGAAATCGGCATACTACATACTTCTCATCACAACTAAAAATGCCCTCAGGACAATGCGCAGATGTGCATAACGGTTGAGACTGTACACATTTCCGGTGCTTGACTACCCATGCTTCCAAACCGAAAATGAGTGAGAACGGCCGGCTGGTAGGCAACAGTGTCAATAGCAATAGAATCATGTCACGCGTCTGCTACAGCCCACCTACGACATTGATTTGTGATGTGAACGACTAGGCTCTATTGACACCGTGGGACGTTAGCAGCCCCGAGAAACGACATGTCACATGCCATGCGAGCATCGCATCTCAGTGGATACTATCGATCTGGACGTCTTCGACTCGGATGGACTTCAACACCGACTTAACTATGAGCACTCCTACTCACAACGTTTCCAAGTCTTCTGCTTGTAAAGGCCTGGCACCGCAACTCGTGTGGGCTTTTCCGGGCAATAAAACGCTAGGCGATTACCAGCTGATACCTTACGTGCTTTGAATTCCGATACCAAATTCCGTCAAACTTACGTCTCTTTCGTTAGCTCTCAACCTCAAGATGGCTGCCTCTGTGGGAAGTTCGATCTGGCTCGGAGAGGATGGCAGATTATCACAGCGCCAGATCTCGATACCTATGAGCCAACAGGTGCTGATACACTAGTGCACATTAAATACTCTGGCATCAATCCAGCCGACAAGAAGCATTTCCTCATGGGGCTCCACTCATTTATCGCTGGCTACGAGTTCTCTGGCATTGTCGCCAAACCTGGGCCCGAATCCCCTTTTCAAGTTGGCGATGTCGTCTTCGGCATGAACAGACCACAACATCAACAGCCGCCGCATCTCGGAGCGCACCAAGACTTCACAATCGCTGAACCTCAGGCTTTGTTCAAGTTGCCACAGGGAATGGGACTGCCAGAAGCTGCAGCGACAGTCCTCGTGGGCCAAACTGTTTTCGATGGTCTGCTCAATCGTCTCGAGTTTGGGTTTCCGGCGGCTGGGATCCAGGGAAGCGATCCGACCGACCGTTCGATTCTCATCTGGGGAGGTGCCAGCGGATTTGGGATGGCATCGATTCAGATTGCCAAGGCAATGGGATTTGGCTCGATCTTTGTGACGGCATCGCCACGCAATCACGACGGGCTTATGGGACTCGGAGCAGCCCAATGCTTTGACTACAGCAACCCCGAAGTTGTACGCGACATTCAATCAGCAGCCGAGAGTACTGATTCAGGTGATCTTTCTGTTGTATTCGACGCTGTCGTCGCTGGAGCCGATCCCCTATTGCCTCCAGCGGAACGTCCACCTTTCAGAGAGAGCTCTCCTTTCCTCGCCAAACGTTGCTGTGTCGCAAAAGGATCAAGAACCGAATATCTAAAGCTGATTTCCGTACTGCCTGTCTCGGAAGACCCAGCCTACAAGCACACCATGTGCTGGAGACATCACGGAGACAAGAATTTCATGGGAGGAGCTCAGAGCCCCGAGTTTCCGCACCGAGTAAGAGTGGCGATAGACTGGCTTATACTACATCATAGAAATTGCTTGCGCATCCCTCGCCTTACAATCGTCAAAGGGGCTCAAGCGGGGATTGGAGCGATGGAGAGATCTGCTGCAGGAAAAGTCGGTTTCGAGAAGATTGTCCTGGAACGCCCTCTTTGAGTACGCTAGAAGCAATTCCAGAAGATTAGGAAAGAACGGAACTTTTCAGATTTGTATATACGTACTAACCGCCCGTTTACGATTCAGATCTCACCATTTAGTGATCTTCTAAGATGTGCAAGTTCCATAGGGGCTAATGTTTTTGACTTGATGCGATTCAATACCATAAAAGCGACCCGTGATCCGAAAGTCTTAAAGCGAAGTAGCGAGGTACACAGAGAAGACACAGCTTTGAAATGCCCCTCTATTCTGACTGCTTGGCAGCCGGACAACTACTGTAATTCGGCCGAAATGCGGCGGATGAAATGTCAGCTTGGCAGAGACCGCGGATCGCACGGTCTAATTACTGAACACTGCCGTCGGATCTGACTCCGCTTAGGCAAAGACTCAGGTCATGATTCTCTCGCTTACATATCAGTGATACTTCACTACATGCGTTCTACGACCTCGGATTTACGGATTTATTAGCTTCACACGTGCAGTCATGCAGCCTGCTGACACAATAATGATGAAAATCCACTGACGGACGCTCTGCTCCACAGCGAATGCAATTCTAAGGTTAAAACGTTCAACGATGCATTGATATTGTGAGGCTTGGCGGAAATCCTGCGTGTAAAAGTTTTACAGTCAGCATGTGCTCTTGAACTATCAGCCTATCGTCAAGAGCACAACCCTGGTTCAAAAGGAATCTCGTAACAGACCATCCTATATCCATAAATCACAAACATGCACGAACTAGATTTGAGGGCTTGATATTGCTATGAAGAAGATACGTCTCATTGGAAGTCACGTTTCTCGGCAATGATCACGATGGAGCAAAGCTCTACAAAGCCACACCAACCAATTCCCGTTATCTGGTCCGACCAGCAGAATCAAGTATTCCAGCCCAAGTTCTTAACCCAATTAACCATTCTAGCCGAAACTGCAGGCGCATTTAAGTGAGTGTGGCAATTATGACCAGCACCTGGCGAGATTTACGCCTCGCTCAGGTTCCGATTAGCGCTAATATACGCGGTGTCCAGGGTTTGGGCGGCCAGATTCTGCGACGTGACGCGAGACTGCCCGCACATGACGTAGTCGTGCTCGCCGAGAATCACCAGGACTGGTGAGCGATATGTGTTCGTGACAGTCAGGTTGCCCCAGAAAGAGCTCCTGGGCGGGACGAGCATTTCGCCCATTGACTCAGTCTGCATTTGCCTGACCGTTTGTGAGAGAACTGTTGGAGTCAGCCCGTCTTGGTGTCTGTCCGTATTTACGAAGCCAACTTAGTTTGGGGGTCGAAATTGGGATACTTGAAGAAGCAAATGTGAACATCTTCTGCAGAATTGGGCACAAGATAGCCATCAGGTAGATGTTTCAGATGGTCAACATCCTTCGGCGATCCAAGTCTAATTGCAACAACACTGCCAGCCCCAGCCGCATTCTCGTATGCGTAGCAAGTGTGTATGATGGCGTCAAAGTCGCCAGGGTACTTTGAGATCACCGCTTCAGTTGCCTTGCTCCCGATTGAATGGCCGATCCCGATCACCTTGCTGCATTAGGGACCGAACAGCCAGAGCGAAGCATGGCAACCAGTTGATGCAGCACCTCCACGGAAGCAGAAGTTTGCACTTCAAGAAGAGGGTCAGGGTGCTCCGAGAGGCCTGTTCCAAGACGGTCATAGCTTAGAGTGACCATGCCAGCCCAGGCAGCCACATCTACGTAGCTGTATCTAGGGGCGAAGTCCCAATAAGTGATCAAGCATACCACCATGAGTGAGGATCTGCACAGCTCTGTCGACACTGGTTGGAAGGCCAGACGAGGGAACGCAGTATTTGACTCAAATTCCATACGTCTTCTGGATCAAGGTAGTTCCCTCAGAGAAATCCAAAATGCGGTTGGGTCGGTCGTGGTGACGTTGAGAACGAAGTCGGTGACTGACAAGGAGTCTGTGGTTTTTTCGAAAAGCCATTTCTCGGCCTCTAAACCTATCGGAATTTTTACCTCTCCAGTGACACATGACGCTGCCTCTCCTTTGTAGAGGGTAAAAGTAACGTTCTTAAAGAGGGTGGTGTTGAGATTGTGAGACGCGGGAGATGCTCCTGCAAAAGCGACAAGGCTCAGAAGGAATACAGTATACTTGGGACGAAGGTCGCATCTTGGGCTGATCAGAAGTCTACAGATAAGCAGAAGAGTACTTGAATGATGAAAAAAATGATGGAGGTATCACTCTGATTTACTCAACCCAGGAAAATGATGAGAGATCTGTGAAAGGGGGGTTTTCGCAGTTGCTACAGCCTAGTTGCAAATGATTCCCCGTCACGACTCCATCTCTCTGAAGGAACTCGGCGAAATGTTTCCTTATTTTGACAAGAATCTTTCGTCAAAACCGAAATCGTGTTCGTCGCCGCTGCCAAGCAAGCTGCGGAGTGGTCATTGTGGCTCCTAATTCATTTAAGCTTGATGCAAAGTTCACGGCATTAGTAATGGAGAAGACATAACGTTGTAAGACCGAGCTGATTTCAATTTGCACGCAAACACCCGTTTACTAAGTAATAATTTAGGGGTTGATGATCAAAGGTTCGAGGCGCGCGGGTACCGGATACCGAGAAACACACGGTCTTCGTCCGCAGAGACCCGTTCTGAGTGCTCTCTCGTCCGCCGCTCACCGGATATCTTCGCATTTGGCACCCGGCCCTAGACTTTCATCTCAACACCTTTTGTCATTTGACCACGCAAAGGTTTTCTGTCAGATGTGCTGCAGAGGACATCCAGAGACTAATAGTCCATTGCTCTTAGCCGTTCGCAGCCCAGTAACCAGGATGCGCAGTGCAGCAAGACTTGAAAGCTTGCCAATTTTCAGTGCAGCACTAAACACCCTGTAAGAGCCTAATTCTGTCTGTGCATGGGGTACTCACAGCGCCGTCTTGTTGGTAACTACCTCCGGGACAGCATGATGCGGTGTACCCGGAGTTGGTGTTGTCAGATCTCAAACATTGCCAAATAAGAGATGGGCTGTTGTTGCAATACGCAGCGGATACTCCGCCCAAGTAAGTGCTCTAAAACTCCCATGTTAGACCGTCATGAATGACCAAGGCTTTTCGGGTTGATACTTACGAAGGACAGCAAAACCGCGAGTTGACAGACCTTCATGGCTGTTTAGGCTATCTGAAATGTTGGTCGAGCTTTGAAAGTCAAGAAAACTGCCTAGTGACGATGGCCACGACAGTGGTTCTTATGTCTTCAAAGCTTGTTAACAGCCGCAATCCACATAAATTAGACCCACTTGCCGCCTCTTCATGTTTTCCATAACCGGCAATTGATGTGATATTTCATCCACCTGATTCGCGGTGTCGAATTTCCTCCAGAAAGTGAAATAGATGAAAGTGCCTCAGACATGAATCAGTGTGAGCCTTTTTGCCCTGTCCTTTGCCATCGGTTATCTCGGGTCGCCGTTGGCCCGCATTCTCCGACCGACTCGTACCTGTCGCTGCTATGCACACCGCTGCTTGAAGACGGGATCTTGCCATAAATTCCGGAACTCCATGAACGTGACTTCGAATAGAAGCACCAGTACGAGATGACCTTCTTGTTCAGAGTATTAACCGCAGTTTGGGTTTTGTCACAAATAATCGGTGTTTCTTTCTGTAAGCAATCGCAGCTGCATCCAAATGTGTCGCCAAAAGCGAGACGACTGTACACATTCAATGGCATTTGAGCGAGAATAACAGCATACATTGTGTCAACGCGTTGTCGCCAACGAACTCCGTAAGCTCGCCACGGACCCGAAACCGAGTCTGGCGTTGACAAAAGCATTACTGATTGCATGCCTCAATCAAACTTCTTTGGTTTATTGGAGAACTTGTTTCACTGCTTTCCCATCGGTAGAAAATGCGTCAACTGGCTAGGGTTGCACAGCTTGGGCAAGCCGTCAGACATGCGAAAGCACGGCTAGTTGTAGAAACAAATCCGAGAGTCATGCGGCAGTAAACAAGGTGCGCCTCCAGGCGGCAAACTGCGAAGATGGAAACTTAGAAGGGAAGAAAGATTCAAATCCGAGAGCATCGCAAACACGGAGAAACCCAGGTTAATTTGGACAATAACGCAAACGCAAAAGCAAAAGCAAAGGCAAAAGTAAAATTGAAACCGATCACGGATAACTTCTATCTACGTTACAATACTCCGACGGAGCCATCCGCGAACCTTTTTAAATGTCCGCTTCGCCCATGCGCTGTCCACAATCTAAGATGGTAGGTACTTAAGTACTATTCCAGTATCTCTCTACGACTACTTCTACATTCATCTTCAATTTTATTACACGAAATTGATGCTCAAACTGTTATCTTCTAAATTCCCTTGTTGCTCTAAGCTCTGTATCTGATGTTACAGCTCAGAGCTTCTGAAAAGAAACTGGCATTCCTAGGCGCGCCTCAGGAGCTTAAGCTGTGGGGATCATCGTGAACATGAGCGGCGGTTGGTGTCAACAAAATAGATGTACAGCAAGGAGTAATTACCCGCGAGGTCTTGCAACGACCTTCCTGATTGATGTATGTACTAGAAGCCGATTCTAGCTTCTCACACTGTAGTATATACATGTAACAACTTCTGGTTGATTTTCCCAAACTTCATGAACTGAATTTCACTCTCCTTCATCATCACTCCGTTTCAGATACCCTCGTGACACTGAGTCAAGTCTTTCGAGTCTACTCCTTGGCAAGGCTGCATCTCGTTGTTTGAGACCAGCACCGATGCAGTCACTTAGATTCCCAGGATATTGACCTGGATGTTTCTGTCAGCGGCAACGTACTCCTTGCCCTTCACGGTGTTGTCGGCGCGGTAGCATGAGTCGAAGATGAGGCCTCCGGTACGGGCAATTTCGTTGCTATACATCAGTCAGCACCTGTCCTGGATGGAAAACGGTCCATGGCATCATGAAATGCCCCTGACCGGGTGTTTTACTTACCAGTTCACAGTATATGTGCCGGTGTTGCCTCTAGTGCTAATGAGCTGAGCGCCTCCGATTCGGCACATCTGGATTTGTGACTGCGCAACGACGCAGTTGGTGCCTGCGGCCCCCTTACGAGCGAGATCGTCGAGACAAGCCGCGGCATCTGCGGACTACACACAGAGAGAGATACTTGTTAGCATGGGCTTCCAAAGGCCGACTGGGTCGTAGTCTGATGTTCGTACCGGAGCATCCTTGTAGCTGGCTACGCACTCGGCTCTCTTGGTGAGCCGGCCAGCAGAGGAGACGAGGGCGGCAGAGTTCGCCGCCGCAACGGCCTGCTCGGGGCTGAGAGCCGTGTCGGGGTTGGCGATAATGTCCTCGACCCATGAGGCGAAAGAAAAGGTCGTCTCAGAGGACGGGGCCGGTGCGGCCGTAACGGCGGCAGCCATGGCCAGGGCGACAACAGAGGCGGTGAACTTGACCATTTTGGATGTTGGATGTATTAATAATAAAGGCGGTTTGATGATATTTGAAGAGTTTTTGGAGTGTGTTCTGTGGAATAGAGAGGGACTACAACCTGATGAGCGACACGAGTGCATATTTAACTACTTCCCATTCAAGTGAGCACATACGAGATTCCCGATTCTGTTAGTTCAGACAACATTCAGAAGGGACTTTGGTGAAGAAAACTCCATTAAACACGCTGGATTCTATCCACAATATCCGTCTTCACAGCTCGGACTATGTACGTTGTTGACTGAACTGTTCGTATTCGTCCGCTTGAAGGATCAAGTTGAGCGGGCCGACCCACTCCAGTCCCTCACGTCAGCCGGCGAGCATGGTAGCCCTGTAGGACATCACAACTCTAAGTTTGCGAATGTGTCCAATCAGTGGCTACTAATTTGTATTAAGTGTTGAATGGGTATATCGTAACGAATTGGAATGGACGGGCTGCTATCCATTTAGTCCAAGACCTCCGGCCAGCATGCCACTTCGGCCTGGGCCGGAAGCGGAGCAGCCCTGCAGGGCTTTGGGACTTCGGTTCTCGGCTTCTGCCTAATCAGCGCGTACCGCATGTGCGGTTACATCTACAACGTCTACAGACTTTATGCATAATATGTTTTCTTGCGGTTTTCTTGCGGTTAAGACATATCGCGGATCGAGTACCTGAGCAAAAGCTTCCATAGAATATCATTCATATTGACAATTTTATGCTCTTGTATGTTGCTTTCCCTAATGAAGCTGAGACCGATGTTCCTATCATCGTAAAGTTTGGAACAGTGGATACTACCAGGCAACAGTATAACGGCATCCACTACCAGGCTCACCGCAAAATATCATGCGAGCATGATTCTTTCGGTTTGACGTTATTTCGGCGGCTGGGATCCGCAATCATTACACTGGGCCTTATCCAAGTCGGAAGGCCAAAGAAGCCATCCGTCACAACTCATGCTCCAATCCATAGGCCCTTGTGGCTTGTCGTCAAAGTACTAGGTGGTTGTTGATGTTGTGAGACGGCGGAAAAGTAGTGAAATCTCTGACAAAATACAATGCGCCGAAGTACGTTCTCGCTTCCGGCGTGGTAAGATTCTTGCTAAGCTTCTGGCTACCTCGGACATGATATCCCCAAATTGCTGAATCGCTCAAAGTATGTCGTTTCTCGCGTTCTCTTCATTCTCACGCAGCTGGCCAAATATCTGGCGCGCGCATCACGCTGATGGCACAAGTATTGGGAAAAACCTCGTTCCTCTGGTCAAGAGCTTAGCCGCAAAGATGTCATGGTGGGAACAGGTTGCAGATGCTGAAGTTAAAGCATAAGCATGGTTGTTCCCATAGCTGATTTGTTACGGAAACCGCCCAAGCAGCAAGTATTTATTAGTTCCAGTAAGAACGCTACATAACACAGCAATCAAATCAACGGGCTGCCTTTTCACACTTGGTCTCAAACAGCGAATGCTCCTACACTTATTTCATCCTTCAAACCCGTCACGTTTTCCCACTTCCTAGAGCACTCTCACGATCCAAGCAACATGTCGCTCCACCCTCTTCCTGTTTCCAGCGTATTCTTCCTGAATATAAGGGGACGACATCCTCTGAATATTAAGCCAAGCTCCGCGTTCCCATAGAACGCACTCAAAGATACAGCATAAGACTCATCAGAGCCCGTACCCACTGAAAAACTGCGTTGCAACGGGTTGCAACACTGTGTCCCGGATATCTCATAGACAGGGAAAACATCTTTTTAAATACATGTCAAACAAAAGCATTCCAGACGGGCGGAGACTGACGCCCGAGACCATACCATCGTGTCCGAGACATCATGATCACCATCCCTCCTTTCATCAGATCTGAAATACAACATAGGGTGCTGAGACGGATATAGAAAACAACGTGTCTGGCGAAAGAAATCTTCTGCCAGTGATAGCTTCGCGAGCTCTTGGCGTTTTTAACCATGCAATTATCATGCTTGCTCCCAAGTGGCCACGACACAACACTAGCAGGGGAGCTAATCTGACAACATCATCGTAGACTCCTACTTGTGACCCGTCAGTCCTGTCCTCTCTCCTGATCTGGACCGTATTCCCCATGAATCATCAAAGCATACCACACAATGCCGAACCTCAAAGACGACGTCTGGATCTTGTATCACAGCCGGTATACACCGTCTCCTCCTCATACTTGCGTAACCCAGTCAGGTTGTCCGCCTCCATTTGCTCGGCCTGTGAACAGAGACCGGAATAACAGGTTCTTTGGATCAAATATAAGCTCGTCAGTATGGCTTCCGGGCCGCTGCTGACTGTGTGTTCCCTCACGTGCAGCTCAGAAACGTATTAATTTCGCCAGTGCGAAACCCTTTGCCATCGTACCAACATGCACCAACATTCTTGCATGATGTGACCAAGTGTTGGGCCGGCTGAGACGTTCAACTACATGTACAGTAGGCCTTCCAACGACATCAGTGTTCCCACCTCATCTCGTATACTATCTAATCCAGCGCTCGCCATACTTCACCCTTCCCGTCTCAAAATTATCCCTACCAAATAGCACACAGATCATCCTAGGATACCTTTGTGCCGTTCAGACTGACCCTAAGGTATCTGCTCCCCCCTTCTTCTTTGTCACTCTAAATCCTCAGATGCAACAGAGACATTCGCCATGGCTCGACAATTTGACATCACTGGCTTGGGTGGATCACTCTGTTGAATATAGGCTTGAATATGTAATTACGGCAACGCGACAAGACACTCAGGCACCATCGTAGCCTGGGGCAAACATAAAGTCAAGACGCAAAGCCCCTATAGTCGTACCACATGCGACAAAATCATGCGGATGATAGTTGACTGTCGCAGCAGTGAGGAAACAGGGCCGAGCCATAGCTCTCACCCGCAATCCTACGCACATCACTCTCCCTCGTCTTGTGCGACAGCCGACTTGGTCCTCTCATCCTTCGACTTCGTCATCTCAACTTTATTCATCAAATACGCCCATCCAAACAGAAAGAAAGCTTCAGTGACCCGTCGAACCGCAAACTCAAACTTACCCAGTCAGGCAGGCATGGTGTATCTTTCCTGTCTCTTTACACCGAGGTGCAGTAGAAAGGCTCATTGCCTGGAACTAACTGCAGTTGGAGGACCCATTGCTGCTTTTTCAAGACAACGGTTACGAGCGTCGGCTTGATATATATACCACGGGCAAGGCAACAGGCAGCGTGCAACCCATAAGCCACTAGAGCATATTACCAACTACTCTGACAATGATTCTCCAGGGGAGTCATTATCCGTCGCAGATGCCTGCGTGAACATCGCAGAGCCTCTTACGTACCACACGATCAAACACTCAAGTGAGCCGGACATTCTGTGAGGTACACCGGCGTAACCCACCCCCAAGAACCCGGACTTCTCCTCCCTGCCCACCCCCCTCCCTCGCCACCGCAATCCAACATCAGCCTCACCCACCGCCCAATCACACCCACCCAACCCATCCAAATCAAGCAGGTACCCTTCCGCTTCCCTTCCACACATTAAAAGCAGGAAGAATGGCCTGCCAATCCGTAGAAAAAAGGGGTCTAGAACCGTAGACCAATGGAAGTACATCAAAATCCCCTCCAGATCCAAGAGACGTTGCCAAGGGCCCAAGTAAGCTCGAAGGATTCGCACCCGTTCGCTCATGCACGTAGGGTCTTTAGGCCGCTGATCGTCGATCGATTTCATGTCAGTTTACGGAGAGCTTGGCCTTTTGCTTTCCCACCGAATTTAATCAAGGCTGGGTGTCCAGCAAAAGAATCTTACCTCTCTTCTCTCAAATCGTCTGCCCTAGATCGACCCTGTGGACATATTCCCCGGAATCAAAGCCCATCTCGGCATATGCCAGAAGCTCGCCGACAAGAGAAAAACCCGATGCCATGCATCTCGGGACCAATCTTCCGACGCGCCCCCCCCCCTCTCCACGACACGTAGAAAACCGGGCCTCTCGATCTCCATGCACCTTTTGCGATCGCGCGGATACTTATCCACAAAATCCCCTTATTTCCGCATCTCGAAAAATCCCCGTTTCCTATTCAACAGAAAAATCTTTCATGCTCCCTCGATCGCGGTGGATTTATGTGGGCTCTGCTCAACCTCGGCTTTGCGTAGCGTGTCTCGGAGGACGATAGTCATGCTCATGCTTCCTCAACCATACAGTGCAAATCGGAGATATTGATGAGAGAGAATATTTGTTTGCCATAAATGGTCGTGTCGTGATATCATTGGTATAATGCCTGATAGCTAGCTCTAACTTAAATTAAATAATTGGTAACAAGATGCTTTTCAGAGAGAAATGTGACTCCTCCTCTTTTGCACAACATCTTTTCCACACTCAAATATATCCGCTTTCATGTGATGATAGATTTTTTTACAGACGGGCAGTCTCCTGGGCCTCCTGGATGATGAACTCGGCGGCCTTCTCGGCGACACCAAGCACGGTGAGCATGGGGTTGATGGTGGGGATGGTGGGGAAGACGCCGGCGTCGCAGATGCGGACCCGCTTAAGGCCCTTGACGTTGAGGCGCTCGTCGACGACGGCGAGCGGGTCCTTGCGGACGTCGCCCATCTTCGTGGTGCCGCAGGGGTGGTAGACGGTGTGGGCGGCGCGGCGAGCGTAGAGGGAAAGCTCCTCGTCGGTGTTGACCTTGGGGCCGGGGGCGACCTCGCGCTTGATCCAGTTCTTGAAGGGGGCCTGCTCGGCGACCTTGCGGGCAGCGCGCATGCCGTAGACGAGCGTGGCGGCGTCGTAGCCCTCCTCGTCGGTGAAGTAGCGGAAGTCAAGGGCGGGCTTGACGTTAGGGTCGGGGGAGGTGAGGAAGAGACGACCGCGGGAGCGGGGGCGGGGGATGTTGGGGGTCATGCAGAAGGCGTAGCCCTCCTTGGGCTCGTCGTAGCCGAGGCGGCCGGTGTTGAGGGTGAAGGGGATCTGGTAGCAGTGCATCATGACATCGGCGATGTCACCGTCCGGGATACCGTCGGGGTTGAAGAAGGTCTTCTTGCTGCCAGCGTTGGGGGCCTCGCGACGCAGGAAGATACCGGCGTCGGAATCCATGGTGGTCTTGTTGGGAGGGACGGGCTGGTTGAGCTCCCACATGATGATGGACTCGGGGTGGTCCTGGAGGTTCTCACCGACACCGGGCAGGTCGTGGATGACGGGGATGCCGAGGTCCTGGAGCTGCTGCTTGGGGCCGATACCAGACAGGAGCATGAGGCGGGGGGTGTCAACGGCACCAGCGGTGAGGATGGTCTCCTTCTTGGCGGTGATGGTGCGCTTGGAGCCATCGTTGAGAGTCAGGTTGATACCAGTGACGGTGTCGCCCTTGACGTTGAGCTTGGAAACCCAGGCGTTGGTGAGGATGGTGAGGTTGGGGCGCTTCTCGTCGCCGCGGAGGACGGGGTGGATGTAGGCGACGGAGGCGGAGGAGCGGCGGCCGTCGTCGGGGTTGTAGGAGATGGAGAAGAAACCGACACCCTGCTTCAGGGCGCCGTCCTGGGCGATGTGCTTGTTGAAGTTGTGGAGGATGGGGATATCGAGGGCGGAGGAGCAGGAGTTAACCCAGTCAAGGCAGAGCTCGTTCTGGTGGCGGGCGTGGACGGGCTGGACGGTGTTGCGCAGCTTGTCCATGACGCGCATGAAGTCGTGGAAGGTCCAGCCGTGGGCACCCAGCGACTGCCAGATCTTCAAGTCGTACTCGAAGGGCCTGAAGGAGATGAGGGTGTTGTGTGATGAGCAGCCACCCAGGACCTTGGCGCGGGAGTGACGGATGTGAGAGTTGCCTGTGCGCAATTGGTGTGAGCCTTTTTTGTCCTGACATTCAATCGCTCACGATGGGACGAACCCAGCGCGGAGCTTATCGTGAGATTGCGAGTGGAGGGGGGAGCTTACCCATGGGCTGTTCGGTGGTGCCGTAGTCGTAGTCGAGCTCACCTCCGAGGAGGTTCAACCACTTGCGCAGGTCAAGGACGCGGTCGTCCATGAAGTCGCTGGGGCCAGCCTCAATCAAGAGGATGCGCTTCTGGGGGAGGGCCTCGGCGAGACGCGACGCGATAACGCAGCCAGCGGTACCGCCGCCAACGACGACATAGTCGTACCTGTCGACGTCGGAGATGGGGAGCTGAGTGGTGGTCATTTTGGCGGAAGGGTAGGATACAATGCGAGGGTATTCAGAACAAGGCGCCCGGCCAGAGTGTGCAAGAGGAGTGATTGAGAGAGTGGGAAAGGTGCTGAGTTATACACGAAGGATGAAGATGAGATGGAGGGGTGGCACAGCTAAGAGTCTCGGCTCGAAGGCGGTCTGAGGTGAGATTTGGGGAATTCTGGGCCTTGGAGGATACACCGAGGAAGGAGAGAGCTTGGATCGGATCCGTGTCGATCGACAGTGGACGACGGGCTTATTATCAACGGAGGTCGGCGTCGCAGCTGGACAGTTGGAAGCTGGCTCATCCTTACCGTCCGGCCTTGTCTTGAGAAATTTTGGCCCTTGGCCCCTCAGGAGCTCTTCGTAGCGGCGCGGTGCAGGCGCAGGCGCAGGGAGGTGGATTATCAGTGGTGGAGACGGACCCCGCGAAGGTGCACCTGTGTGGGTGGCGGGGGCCCTGAAGAGAAAGCGGGTTTCGAGGCATTGAAACTGACTCGCCGGGTTCGAGCGGCATCCAAGTCCGGAACAGCGCGGGAGGCGACGGCCCATTGGACAATGGCGATTGCCAACTTTTTTTTTGATTTTTTCCTTAGCTCCTTGCCTCTGCCTCTGCTGTTGACTTTTCCTCCTCTGGGTGGCAGTTCCGCACCACGGGCAACACACCGGGCAGGTGGCAGGTCCCGCCTGAAAGTCTCTCCCTCCATCCCAAGTCTGGGGCACCAGGTATGAAACATCCCTGCACGAGTGCAGCAAAAGGGAAATCAGGGACGGATTTTCTTGCTTCCCAGCTTCCTGACTGGCCGATACGGGTCACAGGACCCATATCATTCCGCACAGCTGGGCAACCACCTTGCTCCCGCCGCTGCAACTGCTGCATTGGCGGGCAAACACTGCAGGCAAGACTCGGCAGAATTGGCCAGGTACGTAAGCAATTTCATGGGAGCAAGCAGGAAAGCAAAGCAGGCAAACACCTCGACACCTCAACCTCGACTCAGACAAGCACTGTGAGGCTGCTTCACTCAGCACGCCTTCGCTTGAATCCCTGATTGGGGATGTCAAGTGCCAAGTACTTTACGAATACCCACCCGAGTGGAAACTGCCCGACGAAAGGAATTACGAATAATGGCCAGAGGCAAGCCAACTGCCGCAAAGCAATTCAACGGCACAGACCAATCATGACGTCTCGACTCTGCCTGGTTGACCCAGCGAGCAATTGTCCACCCGCGCTTTTTGCAGTCCTGTCCTCGTTCTGCAGTGCAGCATTTTACCGCGATTAGATATCCATCCCACACCTCAACCGTCCCGGCCCAACCCGTCTAATTTCAGACGCATTTTTTCCGCGCCGGTACAAGGATGCATTAAGCCATCCTCCTGCGGCGTGGTTGTTGGTTGCCGGGGCCATATGCAAGACTTGCACTCGACATTCCCCAAGCTGCCATGCGTCCCATGCGGCCACCCGCGCTAAGGCTTTCGGAGTCTATCCGTCCCCCATCCAGCCCTGTCTCTCTCTCTCTGACGACGACGACTCGTCCGCTTCGCTTGTCTGATCTGACTTCGCCTCGCGCCCGGTGAGGTGGCATCAAATGAGTGGCTGCCGCCTGCACCGTTTACCGCGGTAGACCTCATCCGGGGCATCCGCCGCGCCGTCTAGCCCGGGATGCGCAGCCAAGCCAACCTTGAACTTGCTCTCATCGGCCACCTCCAGCGCCTGCGAGGCCCTGTATCGTGTGTGTCGTGTGTCGCAACACCATCGCTATCAGAGTCGTGTGCCTGATGACACGGCGTCACGGCGTTGAAAGCCGTGCCGTGTTGCTGGGTTGTGTCAGGCGATAGAGCGGATGAACCCCCAAATCCTTATCGCCTGCTACAAGGCAGATATAAGTTAGGGGAGATATCTCGGCATACGCGAGGCTGAAAATGTTCTGGAACGTTGCCGCTCAGCCTATCTCTGTATCTGCCATGGTCAGCGAAGCGATATCTTTTCTATCTCGGTCGCCGTATCTCTCGTCCGCTGATGGCACACCACCCTGTCTCGGTCAGCCAACCACCGATATCTATCATATTGAACCCTCGGAGACCCCTTGATGATCAAGTCCCTTCACGCCGCGACATCGTTCGATCTCGACGGCCAGACCCGGGACGAAGATGGATCTCAATGCCACGGTTGCAGCCTTCTATTGAATGCACGCCGCAGGCAACGAAAAAACCTTCATCCGGATTGACATTCTCTTTTTTTTTTTCTCTGCTCTTGCTAATGTTCGACCCTGAAGGCTGAAACTTCTGCAGTGGAGCATCCTTTCAAGAGACCGCCGGCTGTCACTGGCCTTCGTCTGGGCTCTTTTGTGGGGGACTGTTGCATCAGAGTGGATCTTCGGCCAATGACGTATGGCTTATGACATCACACCGCCGCTGGAGCGGATCTACAAGGGGTCTCCCGGCAAATCTGCAACCCCCAGCTCCAAAGCGGATTTTACCTTCAATCATCAGCTGACCGGCGAGGCCCTCCGCGATCCCGATCTCACGCCGATCTGCGTGGGATTTTTTTCTTCCTCTCCTCGCTAGCAGACCACCACTGAGCACTGCAGATTTTCAGCCTTCCGCGAGTGCGACCGTTGACCTCCGACCCCCGTATCTCCGATCGACAGCCCAGTCCCGGCGCAAACCGCCTGCCTGCAACTGACATCCATCCCTCCCAAATTCTTGCCCGTCCGTCCACCGCCTGCCGCATTATCGGAAATCTATACCCAATCATCCCCATCCATCAGCCTGTCATTCCTTCTTCTTTTGTGTCTTTCTGTTAGTGAAGTTTCAGTTGCAGCATCTTTTTCCCCCATATCATTCAAAAATGGCACCACAGGAGCAGGACCGTCACGCTTTCTATGCGGGGAAGCCCCAACCCGACTCGGAATCCCCAGGCACCTTCCAGTCCATCGATCCTGCCACGGCGAAGCCCGTCTGCACCATCCACACCACCTCATCCTCCGGCATCAACGCTGCCGTCGATGCCGCGAAGGCTGCCTTCCCCTCATGGTCCAGCACGCCCCCCATTGAGCGCTCTCGCATCCTGCTCAAGGCCGTCGCCCTCCTCCGAGAGCGCAACGACGACCTGGCCAAGATCGAGACCCTCGACACCGGCAAGGCTTTCTCGGAGACTCAGTACGTCGACGTCGTGACCGGCGCCGATGTCCTCGAGTACTTTGCCAACCTCGTCGCCAGCGGCGGCCTCAACGGCGAGTCCTTCCGCCTGAGGAACTCCGCCTGGGTCTACACCACCAAGGAGCCCCTCGGCGTCTGCGCGGGCATCGGCGCCTGGAACTACCCTATCCAGATCGCTCTCTGGAAGTCCGCGCCATGCCTGGCCGCCGGCAACTGCATGGTCTACAAGCCCAGCGAGTTCACTCCGCTCCACGCAGAGTACCTCGCCTCCATCTACAGGGAGGCCGGCGTCCCTGACGGCGTCTTTAACGTCGTCTACGGCGCGGGCGACGTCGGCGCCGCCCTCACCACGCACCCTGACATCGCCAAGGTCAGCTTCACCGGCCAGGTCAGCACGGGCAAGAAGGTCGCCGGCTCCGCTGCGGGCGGCATGAAGTACGTGACCATGGAGCTCGGTGGCAAGAGCCCCGTTATCGTCCTCCCGGACGCGGACGTCGAGCAGGCCGTCGACGGCGCCATGCTCGCCAACTTCTACAGCTCCGGCCAGGTCTGCACCAACGGCACGCGTGTCTTCATCCCCAAGGCCATGAAGGCCGACTTCGAGCGCGTCGTGCTCGAGAAGATCCAGTACGTCCGCGCGGGCGACCTCTTCGACCCCGCGACCAATTTTGGCCCGCTCAACAGCAAGACGCACCTCGAGAAGGTGCAGGCGTACGTCCGCAAGGGTGTCATGGAGGACAAGGCGACGCTGCTGGTCGGCGGCACGAGCCAGCCCAAGGGCCTGCCGTCGGCGTACAAGACCGGCCACTGGATCCAGCCGTCCGTGTTCACCGACTGTACCGACGAGATGACGATTGTCAAGGAGGAGATCTTCGGCCCCGTCATGTGCGTGTTGACCTACGACAGCGTCGACGAGGCGGTGCGCCGCGCCAACACGACGGAGCTGGGTCTCGCTGCGGGCGTTTTCGGCAGAAATGTCGACGCGTGCCACAAGGTGATTTCTCAGCTGGAGGCCGGTATTACGTGGATCAACACCTGGGGCGAGTCGCCCGCGGAGATGGCTGTTGGTGGGTGGAAGCAGAGCGGTGTTGGTGTCGAGAACGGACGCAAGGGTCTGGAGGCCTGGGTACGGAATAAGAGCACCCTGGTCGAGATGGGCGGCGCCGTGCCGACTGTGTTCTCCAAGTTGTAAGGAGGGGGAAACGGGAAGAAAAAGGTGGATGAGACGATGTACTGATGTATTGTACTGAAGCGGGATTTACAAAAGAATGCTCCTTGGATGAGCTAGAAGATAGCGATTGAATGATATGTCACGTATTTGATGAGTCTGGAAACACCCTTTTATGTTAGTCAAGTGAAGCGGACATGAAGTGTGGTGACAGCCACAGGTTGTTGAAACTGGGCACGTGCTTAGTAATTCAGTATATATTAAGGCAGTATGCCTCCTGAAACGATGTTACGAACCAAATTACGCGATTGTCATGAGTGTGCCTGTGCGTACTATGAACAGACTGGATGCGGCTCTGCTGGGGGTTACTTCTGGTACCAGAGCACCTGCTCTTCAGGCATCTACTACGTACGAAGTCCTCCCACCAGATACATGCTCCAGGATTTATCCCCACGTATATACAGATCCAAATGATGGACGACAACAGGCAGTGCTATCTATGCTCTGTGTGGACTGAGCTGATGAGCTACGGACTGCGCAAGGATGTGAGCGAAGTATGAGGTCAAGCACTGGAGATGCGCGCTCATCCACAGCTGCAGCCGTCCTATTTTCGTTTCGGTTGAGCAACATCTCAGATTATTGAGAGGCCGTGCTTAAGTATGCGTTTGTCCCAGATTAGGGACATAAAATGACGAAGTGGCAGAGACTTCCAGTTCACTCGGCGCAATAAATTCGTGTGCTGCGGGCCATGATCCTTCATGATGACGGTAATCGCGCTTTTTTGTTAGTAGTGGGCCTGCTCTTTCATTCCTTCCTGTTACACATCTGAATGGCAGTGATAGGCTGCGTGGCAAGAATGAAGGTTCAGAACTTGTCCCTCGCTTATTCTAACAACCAATAAACAAAGGAAGAGGGTGGACAATGCTCTGAGTGGATAGTCCACCTCATAATGAGAGCTTGCATAATCAGCTTGTGATGCGTTTGGGTCCATCCAAACTGATGAGAAATTCGATTGCAGACTGAACTAAAAGACCAAGGCCACAAAGACCGGATTGTCTTGTCAGGCTTGAAACTCTTCGCGCCCGCCTTTTTATAGGAGATCACACTAAGGAGTGAGGGGGCTTGAGGGCCAAGGAATGGCCCATATGCATGTTAGACACTTATTCATTGGAATGATGCAATTAGGTGACAGGTTTGACAGGTGTAAACGCTATCAGTGTCACAGCGAATTCGTTGATGAAGACACAGAGCAATGCCGCCACCTAAACCTTAAGGTGATTCGGTCTTAGTTTCGTGTTTTATTGCGGCTGGGTCTGGGAAAGTGATAGGTGACGATCAAAAGCGTGGTGCGATGAGGCAGTTACTAGCGCTTGGCCGCGTCCAGCCGTTCTCTCTGATGATTATTCAGTCAGGGGAACTCAATGAGTGGCCGAAAACGGCTCTGATACATTTCATATGGCTACACGTAGTTCTTGAGGCATTCCCATGTGATAGGGTGCGGACTGAGCTCTTTCCCTCCTGGTTTGGAACGCTGAACATATTTGACGAACATTCTGCCGGTTGTCATTCCTTTCTAGGTTTTGATGGCGTTTTTATCCCTTTCGATACCTTCTACTGAAACTTGAATGTATATAATGAGAAAGATGCATGTTATGACATGTTCGTTACCATAATGCTAGTGTGATGGCGTAGCTGTACCCAGCGAGATTCGGACAGTATTCGAAACGCCGTGCCTCAGTCATCGTCACATCATTGGCTAAAGCTGTAACGTGCTGCTTCATCACCTTCTCATTTATTTTGTGAGCATGCATATCGAAGCGCAATACTTGTCAAGTGAAGCAGGTGAAGTACCTTCTTCAGTCACCTCAGTATTACCGTTAACACTCAAAAAGTGACTTATATTTTGATCTCTAGACAATAAAAACCAGATGTTGGCAGCCAGACCTGAAGTTGTCTGCCATAGCGGTTGCGCAACACTCGGCTAACGGCGATATCACGGCCATCGCATACTTGCTCATCGCTACAACCAAACCCTAGTAGACTTATTGCGTATGAGAGACAAGCCAGCGTCCTTTATCAAAATGCGTTGGGCACGGGTTCCACAGAGAACGCTTTATCCATCTCAGAGTCAATCCCTACGCCGTCGACCTTTAAACGCCAAGCTAAAACGTTGAACTCTGCATCAATCGTTCGAATGAGCTCTGGGTGTACAAAAAGCTGGCTGCTTCTGGCAATGACAACGGGAAGATGATTCAGAACGCAGGGTAGGGGATGATAGGGCCGCATTTGACCTCGGTGTTGAGAATCTATTTCGCCACGTTGAAAGAAGAAAGAACAGCATTCTATTGTCTATATGCCAGAGACGCACATCCTTCAACTAACGCTATGCCACCGCCCCAGCACGACAATCAGGCTTCCCTATTTTACTTGGTGCAGCCTCCCTGTGCTCCGACTGTGTAGGTAGAACCACGAATGTCGTTAGACCCCACCTTCCCTTTGTCGGCGCTGCGGGCATCTATGATTCTGAAGTCTCCCGCGAGATTCGCGTTGAGATTCGCCGAGGTGTTGATGCCGTTGACTCGGTCAATGACGTGGCATTGCTCGTTTATGCAACAGCACTGCGGCGTGCCCACGAACTTGGGAGCGCCACCCGATGTGGCATCCGGTGACTGAAAGATCTGGAAGATCTTGCACTTCGGTGCCTGTCTCTTGGCTGGAGGAGTCGGTAAGGTCAGCAGACGCGAAAAGAAAACTGAAGGAACGGCTTCTGCTACGCACTCAAATCCTTGGGCAGGGCCGAAGAAGCGACTAGCGTTGCTGTCGCGAGGAAAACGATGGAAGTGGGCTTCATTGTAAGCGATTGACGGAGGTTGGTGACGGTTGAGAGAAAGAATGTGGGTTTTTGGATTGGAGAACTGAGGGTTGATGGATGTCAAACTGATCCCGAGGGACTTGGCGCTTCCTTAAGTAGTCAGAACAATGGTCTTGACTGGACACCATCCCATAACTACCCATACGGACACTTTCACGATATCCTACCTCGGGGGACAAAGTCCCAGAGGGGAAAGTCTCTCGATGCGACATCCGTCTTTGGTCTGTGCCAAGCTAGTTGACACGGGTTTGAAATGAAGACAACAATAATTAATTAAAACAAGGTTTAGACAGCTTCATTTGCAGGGCTGGGGTGAGCTGTGCGTCGTCGCGCAGGCTGTGTCGGTAAAGCCCGAGTTGATGATTGGCCTTGACATTAGAAAATTAATGGAAGCCGTGGAAGTCGTGGAAGCCGTGGAAGTTGGTGTTCGACTGAACTCCTGCTGTACAAGGTGAGACAGACTAACAACTACCGTTCATCCGAAAAGACCTTTAAAACCTCCGGAGCAGCTGACGATTCAAATGCGGCAGCTGCTGCGTTTTGTCCCAGCAGCACGATCTTTGCGCAGTGCTCTCTCTTATTCTGATTCTCCATGTTGAGTTGCAGACGTCCACTTGATCGACGGTGGTAAGATCGATCTTTTCATCTTCATGGAAATGGCCTGAGGGAGCTGGAACACTCCCAGATTCAGGGTTCTAGCTAAGCCACGTGGATTTTGAGTGCTCTATCCCTCAGCAGGGGGGGAGATACAACATTAGTCGGAAAGGTGGGTACTGCCCGGATGGATTTCTTACACTGCCTGAATAGGAAACTTCTGTACGAATACTTACAGTAAAAGGCGTAATGGGCTTCGCCAAATGTTGCAGATAACATGTTTAGTAGTGGTGGTGTGGAGCCGTAGCTTGTGTGGCTTAGCAGCTTACCCTCGTAGCCGGCAAGTACTCACTGCGCAGGCGTTAACAGAGCCAGAATGCGAGAAAGCCAGAATTGGACGCAGCAAGTAATGATTACAGCTAGAAACGGCTTACTTGTTGACTGCAGGGTCCCTGCCTAACCAAAAATCGCTGGACGCCCATTTCTTCTGCCAGGCTGGTGTCCCATTGCTCTCCCTTCTCTCTCCTCAATTGTCGACGACACTTTGGTGTCAACTGTCATGATGGCACCGCAACTGGATGTCGCACAGCAGTCCCTAATCAAGGCTCTGCTAACGCAAGGATTTCACAACAAGCTGATTGCCTCAAAAGCCTCATGCTCTGAACGGACCGTTCAGAACACGCGCCTCGAGAAAGACAATCCGCTGCCGGGCTGACAGCCTGATCTCAGACTTGGGAGCATGATCACGAGCCAATCCATTTTAATACCAACCCCGCATCTGCTCAATTGTGAGTGGCAGGCGTTCTGCATCCTCTTCCACTTGGCACCACCGCGCGCCAATAACAACATCGCCATGCCCTGCATCAACAAGCTGTTGCTGCACCGCTGCAGACATACATATCATGGCATTTCTCAATTGGTTCTCGCGCTTCATCCAAGAGGCATGGTTAGCATGCTCTTCGCCAATCAATCGATAGAGCAGCCCCCGAGCACCCCGCTCCTATCTAGCTGACTGCTGCCAGCCTGATCTTGCGTCCAACAAATGGACGAGGACACCCGCCATGCTCCATCGCCTTGCTCTTCTTATCTCAATTCCCTTTCATCTTCCGTTACAAGCACTCGCTCATCTCAATTTCTCACTCAAACAAGTACTGGCTATGGCTGATCCCAAAACCTACACTGTCGGTTGGATCTGCGCCCTTTCCACCGAGTTCGACGCGGCACAAGCCTTTCTCGACGAAGAACATGAGGACTGTCCGCCAGTTGCCCCAAACGATAATAACAACTATGCTCTAGGCAAGATTGGGAGGCATAATGTCGTTATTGCTGTCTTGCCGGATGGGGGGTACGGTACAAACGCTGCTGGGGCTGTGGCTCGAGACATGCTGCACAGCTTTCCAAATGTGCGCATTGGACTCATGGTCGGCATCGGCGGAGGGGCGCCCAGCTCAAAACATGATGTGCGACTTGGCGATGTTGTAGTCAGCAGCCGCGACGGAGGCAAAGGTGGCGTCTTCCAGTACGACTTCGGCAAGGCAGTGCAGGACCAGGATATTTCCTTCCAGCACACAGACTTTTTAGACCAACCACCCATGCTGCTACGAACAGCTGTTAGCGCGCTCAAGAGTCGATATAAGAGGAAAGGCCATCAGCTGAATAACGCGATTGACGAGGCGTTGGAACGATGGCCTCGACTGCGGGGGGAGTACTCACGGCCTCCTCCGGCAAGCGACAGACTCTACCGATCGGAAATCATCCATCCGCAAACGTCAGAAGGATGCGCCAAGGTATGCAGCGATGATCCAACCCATATAATACTCCGAGCCGAACGAGTTGAACACACCGACGACCCTGCAATTCACTATGGGTTGATTGCCAGCGCAAATCAGCTCATGAAGAACGCTACAATCCGGGACAAACTGGCTGCTGAATACGGCGTTGCCTGCTTCGAGATGGAAGCGGCCGGACTGATGAACCACTTCCCGTGCTTAGTTATCCGCGGTATATGCGATTACTCGGACTCGCATAAGAACAAGGAGTGGCAGGGCTTCGCAGCCATGGTGGCTGCAGCATATGCGAAGGATCTTTTACTTCAGATTGCGCCAACCAGTGTTGAAACTGAGAAGCCAATTGGCGAAGTGCTTGGTTCTAGTTAGTATTTCACATTCAGTTCACTTAGTACTTTCTAATATTGAATAGTTCAACGAGATCTGAAGTGTGTGAATCGTACAACAGAGGAAACACGAGCGGGAGTCAAGCGCTTGAAACGTACGACGGATGAAACAAAAACGGGAGTCAAGACCATTCAGTCCCACCAAACGGAACAAACGTACGAGCAACCTGCACACCTGCCCAGAAGCGCCTGCTAATTCTTAAGACATCGTCTTATTCGCGTCGAACAGGGTGTACTCAAGCTCAGCAAAGTTGAGGACCTATCGATTGCCTGCAATCCTCATTTCGTCGTACCGTTTCCTTCCGACCCTGATTTTGTGAATCGATCCGACATCTGGACATGGATTGAAGAGCGGCATGCTGGACCCGGGAGTCGCTTCGCTCTCGTGGGCATGGGCGGGTTTGGGTACGTTGTAACAGATGCATTGAAAGGCCTCTGCTAACAAGGCGACAGCAAATCCCAGATGGCCATCCAATTCGCTCACCAACTCCACGCCACCTCATCTGAAACTAGCATCTTCTGGGTTAACGCCAACACCAAAGCAACATTTGAAGAGTCCTACCAATCTATAGCAGACGTCCTGGCCCTTCCAGGTCGCCACGACACTGACGTCAATATCCTAGCGCTGGTCCGCAAGTGGCTGCAGCGAGAGGACGTGAGCCCGTGGCTCATAATTATCGACAATGCAGATGATGTTAAGATGCTATTCTCTAAGGATGGTATTGAAACATACCAATCGTATCTTCCTAAGAGAACCAAGAGCAAGATTCTCATTACGTCGCGCAGCTGGGACGCTGCAGAGAGGTTGACGGGTAACGTCAAGATGGTCTACACCGTCCCAACAATGGAGGAAAAACAGGCTTTACAGCTTCTACAAAGGAAGCTGGGCCGAGACGTCAACGAGGCTGTCGCATCACGCCTTATACGCACCCTTGAGTGCATCCCTCTCGCCATAAACCAGGCGGCGGCGTATATTCACAAACGAAGTCCTCGAGTGACCGTTGAGTCATATTTGGAGGAATTCCATAACAGCGAACAGCGAAAGGGCACCCTCCTTCGCAGCGATAGAGGGGATATCCAACGTTATGAAGGCGTATCTAACTCCATCGTAGTGACATGGCAGGTGACGTTTGAGCAGATCAAACGGGAGCAGCCCAGGGCAGCCGACCTTCTTTCGCTCATGAGCTACTTTCAGGCGCAAAACATCCCCGAGTATATGCTGCATAACTACTGTAGTGGCAACATAGGTTCTGAAGAGAGCGACGATGAGCATGCTGAAACCAGTAGCAACGACTTTGAGGATGACTTGGATGTGCTCCGGAGCTACTCACTCGTTACCGTGACGGCTATGTCGGGTTTCCTGGAGATGCACTCCCTGGCGCAATTTTGCACTAAAGTTTGGATCTCAGAATATGGTTTCCCTGACCAATGGAAGACACTCTTTCTTCAATTAGCCTCACAGCACTTTCCATCGGGCGTATTCGAAACTTGGCAACAGTGTCAAACCCTAATGCCCCACATACAGCCCTTGTTGAACAAACAGCCGTCAGAAGCAGGCGACCAGCTAAAATGGAGCAATTTGCTGACGAATATATCTTGGTATTTGGTGATGCTTGGCAACTATTCCAGGGCGGAGGTCTTAGCACAAGATGCTGTTAGGGTCAGAAGGGAAAGATTAGGAGAGGAGCATCCCTCCACGCTGACAAGCATGGCCAACCTGGCGTCAACATATATGAACCAAGGCCGATGGAAGGAGGCCGAGGATCTGTTTGTGCAGGTGATGGAGACGTTCAAAAGGGTGCTTGGAGAGGAGCATCACGACACGCTGATGAGCATGGCCAACCTAGCGTCGACATATAGAAGCCAAGGCCGATGGAAGGAGGCTGAGGAGCTGTTTATACAGGTAATAGAGATGAGAAAGAGGGTGCTTGGAGAGGAGCATCCCGACATGCTGACGAGCATGGCCAACCTGGCGTCGACGTACAGAAGCCAAGGCCGATGGAAGGAGACCGAGGAGCTGGAGGTGCGTGTGATAGAGACGAGGGAGAGGGTGCTTAGAGAGAAGCATCCCGAAATGCTGAGGATTATGCATAACCTGGCGTCAACGTATATGAACCAAGGCCGGTGGAAGGAGGCTGAGAAACTGTTTATGCAGGTGATGGAGACGTTTAAAACGGTGCTTGGAGAGGAGCATCCCAACACGCTGACGAGCATGGCCAACCTGGCGTCAACATACAGGAGCCAAGGCTGGTGGAAGGAGGCTGAGGAACTGGAGGTGCGTGTGATAGAGATAAGAAAGAGGGTGCTTGGAGAGGAGCATCCCGACACGCTGATGAGCATAGCTAACCTGGCGTCGACGTTTTGGAACCAAGGCCGATGGAAGGGGGCTGAGGAACTGGAGGTGCGTGTGATAGAGATAAGAAAGAGGGTGCTTGGAGAGGAGCATCCCGACACGCTGATGAGCATGGCTAACCTGGCGTCGACGTTTTGGAACCAAGGCCGATGGAAGGAGGCTGAGGAACTGCAGGTGCGTGTGATAGAGACGAGAAAGAGGGTGCTTGGAGAGGAGCATCCCAACACGCTAACAAGCATGGCCAACCTGGCTTCGACGTTTTGGAACCAAGGCCGATGGAAGGAGGCCGAGGAGCTGAACTTGCGGGTGATGGAGACGAGAAAGAGGGTGCTTGGAGAGGAGCATCCCTCAATGCTGACGAGCATGGCCAACCTGGCGTCAACATATAGGAACCAAGGCCAATGGAAGGAGGCTGAGGAGCTGTTTATACAGGTGATAGAGACGTTCAAAAGGGTGCTTAGGGAGGAGCATCCCTTAATACTGACGAGCATGGCTAACCTGGCGTCAACATATAGGAACCAAGGCCAATGGAAGGAGGCTGAGGAGCTGTTTATACAGGTGATAGAGACGTTCAAAAGGGTGCTTGGGGAGGAGCATCCCTGGACGCTGACGAGCATAGGCAACCTGGCGTCGACGTACAGGAACCAAGGCCGATGGAAGGAGGCCGAGGAGCTGGAGGTGCAGGTGATGGAGACAAGTTTGAGGGTGCTTGGAGAGGAGCATCCCGACACGCTGACAAGCATGCATAATCTTGCCTTCACTTGGAAAGACCAGGAACGATGGGAAGATGCGGTGCAACTGCTCCAAAACTGTGTTCGCTGGAGAGAAAACGTCCTTGGTGTGGACCATCCAGACACCATATCTTCCGCATCAGCCCTGTCGGACTGGGAGCTAGATTTCAGGGAAACTAGCCATAAGTTTACATAATACTCTCAGACATTGGATGCTTCTACATAGTCACAGAGAGTTATAATAAACAGTTATAGTGCAAGAGCTAGTTTGGAAGGTAATAACTTTTTCCATCGAGATGCACCCTCTTGTTCGTATCGCGGAGGGATGCGCCGCCTTCTACATAATTAGTTGATTCCGAGAATGAGTCATTGCCCAAATCGCCTCCCATATTCCTATTGATATAGAGCTTTAACCATCAGGAAAAGTCTGTTTTAACGTCGTATAAATGGTATGGAAGACCAAGTAAAGAAACGGTGATCGCGAAAGTGTGGTCGTTACAAGGCATGAATTACAGGATTGGACCCATGGAACCCTTAATGCCGTTTTGGTTGCAGAGAAGAGAAGAGAAGACAGGACGAGGGCCCAGCAGCTATTAGACTGGATGGGACCCTGCAGTCAACAAGTAAGCCGTTTCTGGCTGTCTCATCATTTGCTGCGTCCATTTCTGGCCCTCGGATTCTGGCCTTGTTAACGCCTGCGCCCTGAGTACTTGCTCGCTACGGGCGTCGCCCGCTAAGCCACATCAGCTGTGGCTCCACACCACCACCACTAAACATGTAGAGTACGAAATCCCGCGAAACCCATTACGCCTTTTACTGTACCATAGACTGCGAAGACGAGTCCGTTCACGCTGCTCTGCCTGCCTGCATTTCTATGCATTCATACATAGTGCAATGGATAATACTTGTTGTTCCGGCGAGCGCCATCTTGCTGAGACGCACAAAAGCTTAGCAAAAGCTTATAATAGATCATACAAAAGCTTATCATGGTTCATACGAAAGCTTATTATAGTTCATCCATTTCCCCCAGGTATGAAGACAAGTCAGTCACCAGGAAGAGAGAATCCACTAGTTCGGTTTTGAAGTGAACAAGTGTTCTAGAACCAGTCTGTTGCTTATGTTGCGGGACCTGCTGGCGGCGCCAATGTCCGGTGGGAAGCTGACGTTACTTTCATACCAATGCGCCGGTCCCAACGCTGAAAATGCTCAAATTCTATTTTACCTTTCAATTCCAACCCCCTAGTTTAGCCAACATGGTAGGACGACGTCCCCGTATCACCTCGCTCTTGGTCTCTGCTGGAGACGGGAGAGCAAAAGCGACCTCCTCAAACAGTAATCATTTCTAACATCATTCTTCATCAGTGAATAAATGCAAGTTCAAATTAGATGTCTTCATCAGTGAATAAATGCAAGTTCAAATTAGATGAGGACGATCTCCCTGATACTTCCTTCGCCCCAGAGACTTCTCAACCGTGCTTGGTGCTCCTTTAGTGATTTCTTCCCGCGAGTGTGTTCCTCCTCCCATCGATGTGAAGATTTTACCGGCCAAATGCTATCCATCTCAAACAAGCCAACGCGAGAGTAACGATTTTCCCCTTCCTCCATGAGCACAAGGCCATCTACACCAAAATCACCAGAGTCCACAACCACCAGTAATTCGAGGGTCAGCCCGCAATCTAATCGTAGGCTGTCATCGTTGGGATAATCGAACCCAATCGATACGATCTGGTCTCTCACCTCGCTTTGTATGAATCCATTCTCGTCTGCCGAAGGTATGGGGATGCTCTTGATCAGGCCTCGAAGATGAAGCTCAGCGACGTTGACCTCGCCGAACGGCTCGACATCGGACACAGGCTGGATGTCGTCGCTCAATATCTCAAAGTCTTGATTTTGGCGCCAGTGAGTGTGCCTTTGCGGCATCCAGCTCGCTCGGCCTTCGAAAGACGCCCAGCTCCACGACGGCCCAGACTTGTAACCAAGCACAGCGTCCCCTTCCATCAATGTAGAGAACCACATCAGGCCCCTCGCCAAGTCAGACCTCCACAAGCCACAAATGTACTGATCTTCCAACAGAGCCGCGAATTCTCTCGCGATGCCGGATATAGCAGGGAAGCGGTCGGCTCGATGCGACAGCTTTCGTCCAGAGTACACTTCTACCAGGTCGTACCAATGCGACAGAATCTCAGTCTTTGGGGGAGCGCTCTCGCCACCCCGCAGCAAGGCCATGAGCTCTCGGAAGAGGTATTGGTCGGAGTAGTTGAGGTAGGTGTTCCCCATGCCTCCGACCCAGCCGTCGCAGTCTTCGACCAATGACTCAGAGCAATAACAAATCCACGTCGTCTGCCGGGCGCGGTACTGAAGTCGGCGTCGGGAAAACAGCAGTTCTTGGAGGGTCCAAGCCCTCTCATACCAGGGCTCCATTTCATCCAGCTTGTCCGGTATGAGTATCATCGTCTGTTGCTCGTGGCCAGTGGGTCCATCAACTTCGGCCTGGACTTCGAATACCGGCTGGACTTGCCCATCTGGGTTTCCAGTTGTTTCATAGGTCGGAGCCCGCTTTCCGAGGAAACCTTCCTTGACATCCTTCGCTGCGGAAGCAACGATTGTGAACGTGGCGTTCTGATAAATATCACCCATTCTTCTCAGTTCCTTCACCTTGTCGTCGTAGTCGTCTTGAATGATACATAGTGCGTCGATCCATAGAAATTTGAATCCGAGCTCCCTGGTAACGATTATGCTGTCCCGAATAGTTGGATCTAGCTTCTGCGCATCGATGGAAGAGGTCAAATCAGACATGTTGCTAGTTCTCAACATGACGGCTTGAGAGACACCTCCCCAGCAGTAGGACAGTGCGATGTAGCGCTCTCTCATATTCTCAGGCACCCGCAGCAGTCGACTGCGACCAGGGTCTGATACATCGATAACCAGAGAAGGCATGGAATCTGGTAGATCCATTATTCCACATTTATGATTCATATCGCAGTTGCTCAGCCACTTGCGGATGAGATCCATCGAAGCTGGGCTCTCTGGATTCAAATTGACAGGAGAGCCAATAATGGTTCGGGAAGCGTTGTTGAAATAACCTTGAGTCCAGCTTAGCATTGAAACATCTGGTGTCAATTCCCAGAAAGTGGCTTACCTGGGAGGGAAAGAGCGAGGAACCTCGTCGAATATTGCACCAGTTCGACTTCTCCGGGATCGGGACTCGCAGTCTCGGGGAATCCTTTGGGGATCAACATTCCGATGTACACCATGACGTTTCTGTCCTTGAAGTCATTGATAGCAGAATATCCCATGGTCACCCGGACGCAATGCTTCCGTCCCACAGGAAACTCTTCCTTGTCACCGAGAACTTCGCCATGATCCCAAAAGAGGCGTTTTCGCAAGCGGGGATACTCGTTCGCTTCAGACCCGTCGACAAAAGCAGCAGGTTTCTCTTCATGCGCTTCTATCTTATTCTCGTGATAGTCGTCCAAGTCGTAAGCGTTGAACCTTTGTTTCTTTTGAGTCTTTGCCTCTGCTTCGATGCTTGTCAGCTGGTCTTGGATGACAGTCCAGAGAGTACACCTTCGGCCGGACATGTTCCTTATTTCTTCCACGGTTGTATCGAGCCGGAAGAACTCAACATCCACAGAGTTAACTCGACTTATCTTGGGAGGGGGAAGAGGCGCCATTGTCACGATCTTGCAATGCTCGCAGGAGTGTGCTTTGTCCTTGTCGGACATCAATGCTCGCTTGAGACGAAGGATTTCTCCCTCCATGGAGGAGGTCTCTGGAATATATGCTTGAACTTCATCTTTCTTCATCATTGTGTTTGATAGCCTTATTCGAATGCACTGTCTGTGACGCTTGGCCTCAAGAGTCGATGTCTCCTTCGAGATGGTGGTTGTCGTCTTGAATGGGGGCGCTAAGGTAACTAGTAGCCTGCCAATATTCTATCCAACCGAGCCCGACTCCGACCAATCACAATTGAACCAATAATTACAAATGTCCCCGAAAGGATCCATAGCCAGGCTTAGCTTTCTTGGACCAATGAGCAACAGCAACTCCAAGCTGCCATTTTACAGGTGACTGTTCATTATTGAGGTTAGCGTCTAGGAAGCAGAAGGCTTGAAAAAGCTGAAAGAGGACGTTATCCAGCCTTCACAACCAAGAGCTTGGCTCTTCAAAGTTTAGACCAGGCTGTTTGACAAATCTTTGGGGGCTGGCTTCTGTGTGGCTCCCAAAGCGGTTGGAGTCCACACAACCAACACTCGTCCGCGTGATAGCATAGCATACCCTGCATTCAATGTCCATCATTTCCTCTTGGGTACACACAGTGCAGCAAGACCTAGTTGAGTGGAATTGAATGCATGTTGCTAGCTTGATGCGTATGCCGCATACGCACAATGAGTGCCGAGTGGGTGATTGACAAATACCACCATTCTCAAACCTCTCGATTCTTCCTAAAACAGCCCTCCATCATACCAATATGTAAAATGATCTACAAGTGATGACTTCAGATGCAAACCCTTTTGGCCATGACGAATGTTGGAAATATTGCCTGTAAGGGGCTGGCCCCTAGGCTTGTTCAACGTAGAGGTGCCGTCGATTGACTATTCTAAGCTGAAGAAGGAAGAAAGGACTTTACAAGAGTAGGCACCTAACAGCGGTGAAGCAGACCGGGTTAGGCGGTGTAACGCGGCAGAGTAGTGGGTCCAACGGAGCCGGATCTCGGTAACTGCTCCGGCAAAGCCGGAGATATCAATCCGGGCTCTAGCCCGTGACATTGCCTAACGAAAGCTGCATAACTGGCCCGTTGAGAACCCTGGAGACTCGGCGGGCAATCTTATTGATGGTGCTGCAGGCAGGCCCCCGAGATGGTTTGCACCGTCGAAAAGACAATCGGCGACGCCGATGAACCGGGCCCAACAGAGCGAGAAGTGATTCATGTCGACGCGGGACAGTTGATTCTCACATAAGCCGTATACAGTCCATCACCGTCAGGACCGCCGCATATAGCCTCATCGTCGCCGTTGCAAGTGCTTCAGGCTGCAAGACGAATAGGGGGTCGCCAGATCCGCGTCTGCTGCATGAGCATCGAGCGCCATAAAACAAGACGGCAAGTTTCGTTCCTGATATCCTGCAGTTGGTCTCGCACATGCTGGGAGTCATGACGTTGCCGACCGAGAGTCCTAGAAAGTTGTTGTTGAAGTC